GTTCATTGTTCATTGTTCATTGTTCATTGTTCATTGTTCATTGTTCATTGTTCATTGTTCATTGTTCATTGTTCATTGTTCATTGTTCATTGTTCCGTACTGTGCATACTATCATTGTGTGACCTTTCCAATATGACAGGCCTCTCTTCATTGGAACAATTGGACTGTCTGCCCGCTCTCGCGGCGCTCATTGGCACCGTTCTCTGGGCCTTGCTGACCAGTCGCTGGCGAACTCATCATTATCCTTCGACTCTATTGTTACATGTGGGCTATGCAGCCATGCGCAAGGCCACTGCACGCTTTTCAGTGGCCCAACTGCAGTATGCTTGCGCTTCCCCAATATGCAAGGGGGCACTCGCTTGACTTACAACGACCAATCCAGATATCTGCTTCCTACTACCGATACCGTCTATAAGCGATTCATGCGTCGCCATCATCTACCCTCGAAAACAGTGGACCTTGGTGAAGGTGCTCTAGGCCACTGGCTGGGGGATCATGAACATGCTGAGTATGTGCTGATATGGTATCACGGTGGGTTCCCTTGCCCTTATCAGTTGTATTGTGTTCTCACGGCCTTCAGGAGGCGGTTTCGTCCTTCCCGCCAACGACGGCTATTTCCATTTCTTCACCCAACTACTCACCGATACTCAATCCTGGCCTAAGCCAAGATCACTGGCAATCTTCACCCTTACCTATACTCTTGCTCCGCAGGCCACTTATCCCACTCAAATCCGCCAAGCCCTTTCAGCACTAAAGTACGTGGTCAAAGAGACCAACCGTTCGCCTTCGCAGATACTCCTCGGCGGTGACTCCGCCGGTGGAAATCTCGTCGGGGCCGTCCTTGCGCACCTCGTCCACCCCCATCCAGCTCTCCCGCCGCTGTCTCTATCTCCTGATAGTGTCAGCCCCAATCTCCGCGGCGCTATCATGATTTCCCCATGGACAAGTCTGAATCAGTCCATTCTACCTGAGGAAATTGCTGCCTCTATCGGAGCGGTCGAGTCAGAGATCGACTCCCGCGGAGATATCATCACCCCGGCGGTCGGCGGACCGTGGGCGGCGGCGTATATGGGTGCTGGCAAACATGACTATTACACGGATCTATCGATGGCGGCGGCAAATTGGCTCGCGCCGTTTCCTGTAGAAAAGGTTTGGGTCTGTGCCGGGGGAAAGGAGATAATATTGCCGTTCATCACTGCATTCGCCAAGAGACTGCAAGAGGCGTTAGGGGCGGAGAAGGTGGAGTTGTGCGTGGGTGAGGGCGAAGGGCATGTTGCGCCGATTTATAATCTAGCGCTGGGTGATTGGGGGCAGACAAAGCAGGGAATGGGAGTGAAAGGGTGGCTAGCAGAGGTGCTATGAATATATTCTATCCGCGGCAATACCTTGCCAGTTTGTACATGATTGTGTTAGTATCGATTATGAATGATATTGCTATTTGTTTGATGTGTAATCATGCCGTAGTGATGATGCAGCATTGTATCACAGACGACGCTTCAATCCATCGTAAGCTAGGAATCACCGTCCCTTGTGCACGCAGATGTACACAAACATTCCAATCAACAACTACATATGAGAGCAAAAGATGATTGAAGGTGACTTGTCAAAGCTTAAAAAAAGAAATGTTGCTCACACTCGGACTCGAACCGAGGATCTCAGCATTACTAGTGCTGCGCTTTACCATCTAAGCCATGCGAGCTGATTGGTGTATAATACCATACTTACATTATATAGGGCAATTTCAAAACGGAGGGAAAGTTGAAATGGTTCAAGGTTGAAATGTTTTGGCAAATATATTTTGTTGCTGAGCTGAGATTCTGTCGAGGAGTCTGCGGCAGTACTATTCGAACTTCAATCAAATGGCAGCCACATCACACACTTGACATATACAAATTCAACAAAGCCCATGCTGGCTTTACGGTAAACCTCTCAGAACAGAACAGCCATGCTTTTATTCTTCTGAGCCATTTGATAAATTACCTATGTTTGTGCGTACTATGCCTATGATGACCCCCATGCATGAACTCACTGATCCTCCTCTTCTTCTTCTCCCCTTCTGTCTTTTCCTCTTCGACCTCCATCTTCTCATCGTCTTCTTCCTCCTCATCTACAGCAGGCCACTCCTCCCACCCATCCTCCCATATACCCCACATAACCTCCTGTTTCTCTCCCCTCTCCATCTTCCTATCTCGCATCACCTTCTCCCACTTCTTCATCTCCTTCGTGTTCAACAAACACTCATCCAATAACCTCGTCACCCCGTCTACATCTACCCCTTCTCCGATAAACACGATCTCCTGCCGCCGATCACCCCACTCCCCTTGGAAATCATCCGCGATGGACTTCCGCACATCACCATCCTCCGGCCACGCCTCGTCCGGGACCTCGGCAAACCACGGCCCTCCGCAGTTCATGGTCAACATGGCGCCTGCCTGGCTCCATTCGCCGAACTGGTAGGGTCGGGTGGCGAGCCAGAAGAAGCCTTTGGAACGGAGTAGGGGTTGGAGGATGGGGTGAGCGCGTTTATTGGCGAGGATTTCTTGCGGGGCGGGTTGGGTTGGCTCTCCTTCATCGTCGTCGTCTTCTTCCGCGTCGGAGTCGGACTCGGAGTGTATTCCCGTGTCTGATTCTGCGTCAGAAGCGTTCTCTCCCTCTTCCTGTTCCTCATCATCATCGTCCGCATCATCTGCTGCATTTTGTAGAATTATGAACTTGTCGTGTAGCAAGTTGTATAACCTGCGGGGATGGAAGGGCCGTCGAGCCGTGTAGACGAAGTTGTTGATCCCGTACCTAATTTCACCGAACTGTTAGTATCAAGCCTTCTCCCTCTGCGAGACGGAAATAAAAAGCACACGACGGAGAGGTGTGAATAACCGTAACGAGCAAGGAAAGAATATGAACGTACTCCAAGGTCTCCGGCTTCGGCGCCCACCTCTCTTCCCCATTCCCCATCTTCAACTTACTCATCTCATGCAGACTCCGCAACCACCCCGCCCCGGACGCCGCCTTGATAAAATCAAACCGGCCCGTGTCTAGGATCTCCTTTACGTCCACGCGGGAGTAGCTCGTCTGGAGGACCTTCGCGGAGGGGTTTAGGGTCGTCACGAGCCGGAGGATTCTCTCACGGTCCTGCGGCCGGTCTGCTAGCATATCCATCTTGTTGATGAGAATGACGTCGGCGAACTCGATCTGGTCGACCATTAGGTCGGAGATGGTGCGCTCGTCTTCTGGGATGATGGTGTCGGATCCGTACCGGTCGGAGAGGAAGTCTGTTGTATCCAGGTTGGAGAGGAGGTTGAAGGCGTCGATTACTGTTACTGTGGTGTCAAGTGTTGAGAGTTGGTGGAGGCCGCCTAAAGTGTTTCTTTGGAGATGGTGGTGTTAGTCTTTGGCTAGGGCTTTAGGGGTAGGCAAGAATGCAAGAGAGGTTGGGGGAGGGGGGGAGAGAGAGACGCAGTACATTTGATCCAGTATCTTCTTGCCCTCTTCATCTAGTACACCCCCTTCTGCTTCAGCCTGGACCATTGCGGCGCTGAATTCCGCGGTGAATGTTTCGGCGACTTGCATGGGCTCGCTGATGCCTGTGCTTTCGATCACGACGTACTCGACCTCCTTCTGGGTCGTGAGTCGCGCGAGCTCTGAGAGGAGGTCTCCTCGTAACGTGCAGCAGATGCAGCCGTTTTGGAGCTGGATAAGGGATTCCTTGGTATGCGAGACGGTGTGATGCTTGATGAGAGTGGCATCGATGTTGAGGCTGTCCGCTCGTTAGTAAAAGCGAGGTGAGCGTATCGAGGGAAACTTGCCTGCTCATATCATTGACGATCACGGCAATGCGAAGGCCATGGTCGGGCGACTGGAGGATGTGCTCGAGCAGAGTAGTCTTTCCACTGCCCTGTTACTTAATCAGTATAGATTGAGATGGATTGGTGGGACTATGTGCTGGCTGACTGACCAAGAAACCTGAGAGGAGGGTCACAGGGAGTGGCTTCCTGCTATCTCTTTCAACTGTGACATTGGCCTTGTTTGCCTCAGATGAAGATTGTAGTTCGGCCCCCTTGTAGGAGAGAGTCTCCCGTCCCGAGTCAATGGTCATCTTCCTGCGACTGTTCTATGGTTTGCCACCGGAGAAATCAATTGTACACACCACAAACCAAGAGAAGATTATTGTGACTTCTCTACACCTCGATACTTATAGATCGAAACCCCCAAGGTGCTCTTATAGTACCTATTTATCATCATTGTTCCGATTGGTGACCGCCGCTCCCAAGGTCCTTGCTTGCAAGGTCCCATGTTGTATACCTACAAGGTACCCGATGGTACAACACGGAAACCCACTGATATTGATAGGTCAACTGTAGGTGCTAACTAAATTATCATTCGGTGGAGGTGGAGTTGCTCTTGTCCACACAATCCACTCCAATACCCCCGGTAATGCCAGTGCAGACAATCTCCGCCGGGCTGCCCGCCGGACTTGTCAACGAGATATCCTGCAGCGTGACATTTGTGCAGACAGCAGCCGGTGAGCAGGTCAGATCGGCAACCACTAGGCCTTCTTTACCCGACGAAGTGCCCCAGATGTTCTCAAACACGATGTTCGTGATGTTGACTGCAGACGGATACTGGGCGCACTCCGTTGCATTGATGTTGAAGTAGCACTGATCCAAAACTACCGGGTTGTCGGTGTTCTGAATCTGGATGTTCTTATAGGTGATGTTGTTGATGCGACCGTAGCCCACATCCTGTCCAGCCCAAGCCTTGAGTCGGGCGCCGTTCTATGTTTGTTAGCCTCCATCAGCAATGGCGTGTCCGGCTGCACTTACCTGACCATTCAGCAGCGTCACATTCTCTATCCACGCATTTTCGATAATGTCCAGCTCCCCTGAATATTGTCCAATACTACCCATGCTCACGCCATGCGTGTTATTACACCATAGGTTCTGAACGAAGATGTTGGTGGTGTTAGGCTTGGGCGAGAAGCAGTCATCGCCAATATCGACCCGGGTATTGGTGACCGTTAGTCCATCGACATTGTACGAATCAAAACCGTCGGTGTTTTTGGGCAGAGCCTATGCTATTAGCCAGAAGTTCCAGCCTGAGATACTTTGACTTACCGAGGCATTGGTCGAGTAAGCATGGATAAACACATCATCAAAGGAGATATCCTTGGTGTTGACGAAGAAATTGGTCCAGCATGGCGAATTAAGCTGGGTGATACCCTCCACAGATACTCGAGTTGCGTTGTCCGTGAGGAACAGAATCGGCCGGTAAAAGGTGTTGGAAGAGTCCTGACCCGTTAGCCTTGACCAACCGCTGAGCTTTCATAAGAAACCTTACCAAGATTTCGAGTCCAGCAAACGCGTTGTACCAAGCCTGTCCGTTGCCGTTCAACGTACCACTGCCAAAGATCTTGATATCATTTCCACCCCAGCGCCAAAAGGTGATTGACTTTTGGAAGTCATAGTAGTAGTTGTTGGCCTGCCAGTACGTGATATTGTTCGTGAACTACAACCATTAGCGTCCACTGTTTCCCCTTCATTGCTGCGCTTCACCACATACCTTGAGCTCACCCTCCAATTGCACCTCAATATTGTCCAAGAACGTCAGATCCAGCTTTTTCCCAATCACGTATTTCTTGCCCTTTTCCAGTAGCAGTCGTCCACCCTGGTTGGCCTGCTTGATTCCCCAGAGGAAGTCACTCGAGATATCGTCATAGTCGTTCTTGGATGGGCGAATTGTCACGGTCTTCCGATCCGGATATTTGGAATAATGCGCCCCAACACTTCTTAGACCTTCTGAATCGGAGACAGGAATAATCTTCGCCCCCTTAGGGACTCCGCCCACCGCGACGCCATTCACGACAATAGGAACAATGCTCAAAAGGAGCGCAGCGAAGGAGGTGAGGTTCATGGCTGGCTTGTCAATTTCAATTGAGCCTATCTTGTTCACCTCCCTCTGGAGCGGCCGTCCTACGCCGATTATTTATGTCCGTCCTTGACATCAGGATCTATGTTTAACCGCTCGCTATTACCCCCGGATCTCCCTCCATTGAAGAAAGAAGTCTGGGGAAATATCTTCGGGGAGCAAGTCGATTTCTCCACCTGTAGGATTTCTTCTGGAGAAGAAATTAGTCGATATCATGGCTAGGATCGCTTGGCCCACTTTGGCAGGTTTGCACCAAGAATTGGGCATGGACTGAGACTGGGGTTATTTCCCCGGATCGTTGCTTGGTCTGGGGGTTTCTTCCACCAATAGCTGGACAGGTCGCTCACCGAGTCTCCAGGTCTATGTACGGAGTAGGTTTATATCAATTGATTGGGGACGAGCCAGTTTGTCATTCCGGCTTGGCTCATTGCAGTTGGACTCATCAGGGAAAGTCGTTGAGGCGACGGAGGCTGGTCGATTACGTGAGGGATATTGAGCCGAAGTGGGCTTTTGACGGGAGTAAATTGAATATTGACGAGTCCGTCCTTTCCCCGCAAGAGCGGTGTTGATCGAATGTCAAGATGGTATAAGAAGGGGAATTATATCCGGGGGTCAGTCCCCGACATCGCATCCTCCCCTCATACCCCAGATTATGCGCTGCTTTTCCCATCACGAAACATTAATCAGATAATCAATGATTAATTATGAGAGAAGTCTTCACCAATTTACGGGAGTTGGAACAGTAGAATCAGTTGTCCTTCCCCTAGTGATCCCACTGCGACTCTCATCTCCCCATCATCTCAACCTCGGCAACCCCGCAGAACAGTCCCCAACCCCAACCCCTCTATCGGAAACACAAACCCGTTGATTAGTCTAATCTCCCCTTATCAAGTACTGTAACTCGCAAAGCCTTCCCAGAACAGCTTTGCTCAACAACAGGGAAATGATCACAGTCTCTCCCCCGCCAACATCAGCGCTGTAAGGCAGCCCACGTTGCCCAACCACCACAGCACCGACGGCACAAAACTCAGCTCTTCTGATTCAATCGACACATATACGAGTGCGTACGCCACCTGTTCGGGTTTTTTATGTATCACAAACACATCATTTCATTAAGAAACGGAATTAGGCTTGGGTGCATGTCATGCTAACTACAGCTCGTACTACGCGGAGTGGTTATAGCATTTCCAACTCCTGGGGTGGCGTATGATGTCATGGCCTGGCTGAGTGCTTTCAGTTGACTCTGGCCAGCTAATAAATGTAAACAGATTGTCTCAAAATGTTTTCTGCCATCATGGCCTTTACCCCTTTTTCTTGCCGTGCTATGGGTGTGTGTCCAGCTATCCTGACATCAAGCAATACTATACCGGCAAGCGCGCTTATCAGATCTACCTTTATCTATCCATCAACTTTGTTGCACAAGATACTGCCTTAGCCCTGTGGAACTCGCAAGCCATACTTAGGGTATTAATAACAGATTCAAGTAGAAATAAGCTTTATCAAACTGGCTCCGCTCCTAGCTAAAAATCCATCAAGTTAAATGAAGCCAGTCAGCCCCATCGTCCGCAGCATGGATATAGCCCGACATCCGGGAGTTACCGACCGCCACATCGGCACGTCTAGCCGTACCATGGGGCAGATATCCGTTCACAGCACGTTGTAGAGTCAAGGGTCCAGCTTTAACCGCGTTCTTGTGACCCATCATTCCAGTCAGATCAATCTAGAATCTGACTAGAAGTTTTTTCACAGGCAAGGCTGCGATTAATAATAAAGCGGAGCATCGCGGATGATCAGCCGCACACACCACCAGCCGCATTGCGGCCAGCCGGTTCATCAATTAACTGACGCAGCGTTGCGCTGCCACAATGATACACCAGTCTGTTTCTTCCATACCGTGTTTCTTTCTCTTCTCATCTTGTGTCATCTAGAAGTCTTAGCAAAGCATTGCGTTGGTTCCTTTTGAAAATTGCTTTGGGAGTCTCTTGTCCATCAAGATGTTCACCTTACCGTTGCTTGCCGTTACCCTCTTCCTCCAGGTCAAATTCTCCCTGCAACCAGGTCTGAAGTATGCGCTCTATGGTGCTCTCATTCTTAGTGCGCTGCATGCCATCTTCGCGCCCCTCAAGGGAGTCGGGGATTTTGCAACATACACCAATGCCTTCTTAAGTGTGTCTTTCATCATTCGAGCCGTGGAATTGCTTATCTTGCATGACCTCGATGCTTTAGAGCACTTGGAAAAGATATCTCACGTGTCGAGTTCAATTTTATACTCTTGGGAGCCCATTCCGAAAACGCTAGGTTATAGAAGATTTCTCCGAGTCTGTAACCTGATCGCCAACCCGCGCGCTATTGGATGGAACTATGGCTCGACCAAATACCTACCGCCGCTACGCCCCGTTGAGGGGGAGGCTGGCGGGGATCATTGTGCTCCAGAGCATGAGAACATGGTCTTGGTAGCTGATGGAGACCGTCGCACCTTTCTCAGGTCACGTGTTTGGACAATTCTCTTAGCCTATGCGGCCATAGACACGTATCAGGCGGCGTTTGCGCGCAACTATCCCAAAATCTGCGACAGCGTCGACAGATTTTTGAACGGCGTGGTGGGCTGGGATATTGCCCCGGCTACCAGCGAGATGGTAGTTAGAAGATATCTGTTGTCACCCGGCTGTTGGATAGCTGCATATGCTTTTGTAGATGGCATCCATTCCGCTGTGGGCGTATTTTCGGTTGGCATTTTGAGAGGCTTTTCGCCGAAGTATGCTGGAGAGCCATGGATGTATCCGCCGGTCTTTGGGTCCGTACGTCATCTGCTGGCGTTCAGTCTGCGTGGTATGATTTTCCGATTTTAGTGTTTTGTTATTATCAGCATGCTGACTTCCATCAGATATATGGGGCAAAATGTGGCACGACTTGTGTCGCAATCCCTTATTGACACTGTCCCGCGCGGCCATCCCGATGAACATTCCTGTGGGATTGCAACGTTTTCTGATCATTTGCCTCACCTTCTTTGTTTCGGGCATTGTTCATGTTGCAGGGACTTATGCTGTCTCCAAAGACCTTGTTGCGGTCGGCATGATGATGTCATTCTTTTGCATTTTGCCGCTCTGTATCGCCGCACAGCATCTAATCTCTGACCGATTCCTCCCTATGATTCTGCCTCAGAATGAGATCTCACGGTCGGTGATCTGGTTGGTCAATCTGGCTTTTGTTACAGGATGGGGCCACATCACCAGTCCTTGGTTTCTCGATCATAGCAAGCTGCCGGAGGCTATCGGATCGGTGCCTCTCCCCTTCAGTTTGTGGAAATTGGCGGCCAATATCTAGAGTTTCTCAGATTATTGACAGAGACAGAGCTTTGCACTTGTAGTACGGCAGACGGTTGGACATTTGTCTTACCTTGCCGTTGTCTATCGGTTTCACCATCTGATCTCATGTCTTAACTGGTCTATTGGTGTTGAGTCTGTGAATTCCGTTTTTATCTACATCAGATCACGTACAGCACTAGAGAAGTTCTTTTGCCCTGGGAAATCCCAGGTAACTTTAACAGTTTGTGACATTTTCCCTCTCACAATGCTCATGGCTGTACATGCAGAGAAAGCTGGGCGGGTGATGATGCTCACCAAGTACTTGAGCATCCCTACTCGCTAGCTTGGCTGATTAAACTTCGGAATAGTGGGCTTCAGAATAAGAGCTCATTTTATAAGGAATTGCGAGGGTCGAAGAAGTCTGTTAGCACGAGTAAGCGAGGGGATATACTTTGTAGCCGCCCTGTTCAATACCGTAAAAATGGTGGGATATGTGGGCGTCGTGAGAGTGCTCATTGCGGGCTATGTTGGCGTGTATTGTTTTGGGAAACTGAGGAAGACCTCAACTTGATGGGATGGAAGGAGAGGCTTGGGTTAGGGGCTTTCAAGAGGATTCTTGGTCCTACTTTTTGTATGTAGACACTGGCGTTGGTTACCCAGTACCCTTCAATGTCCATGGTTTGAACAGACGACTAAAGCATATTGTCAAGCTATGATTGAACTGTGCAGGATATACGTTTTTCATGTTTCTAACTACTATTAATATAGAGTAATCTAAACAGCGTGGAAGGACAAGTATACAACACACGCCTCTGCCAAGTCCTGTGAACATGATCACCTAGTCTCCACTTAGATATGATACTTCGTGTTCCCGGATAATTACGGGACAGAAAATTGATTAGATCCGTTGTACTAAGAGGCTCAATTTATAAGACTTCCTCTTCAGATGGCCAGCATCAAGTTCAACGGCAGTTGAGGACTCGCTCCCGCAGCTACCCAAATTGTTTATATGTCGCCCCGATGATACAAGTCCCACCCGTCGCAATCAACCTCGAAAGAAAACCTAGCCCCCTCAAGAATAGCCTCCAAAGCGCAGCAACCAGCCCTATAACTCTCTCGGAACTGAGGATTCACCACCCAATCACTCTCAGTGTATTCCCCCTGGATACCGAGCATCCCGCATGCGGGCAGATACTTGGGCTTCAGAAGAACATGCCGAAGAAATGGGAAATTGTTTCTGCAACAGTCCGCTAAGCTAGCCATCATTTCATAGACTGGATGCTCGCAACAAAGGATCGTAAGTCTCTCGATGAAGGGTGGGAGGTTTTGAAAGTCTTGCATTGCGCCTTGCTCCACGTCCAGATCTTTGAGATTCCTGAACGCGTCGAAGGAACCATACTGCGGGCAACGACGCCAATCGTAGATTATTAGTGGGTCAGCTACATCCAAATTGATGCGCACTGATCTAAGGTTATGCTTTTGAGACTCCAAGCATGGGAGCAGCGCTTGGGGTGGAAATTGGCAGCTGTCCGCGGTCTGGGATAACCAAGGCAGTGACTCATAGGTGAAGACCTCAAGCTTCTTACACGCTCGTATGATCTTTGTCAGTCGTGTTGCATCCAGTGTTGTTTCCTGGAGTTCTAACTCAGACAAAGCGAGTGAACCTGGTGGGAGATCAAAGTCCGGACAGGCAAGACCGTCACCGTTGCAAAAGGCCATCGAGAATTTCTCCAGTTTAGGCAAGCACATCAGAGAAATGACATCCTTCATCGTTGGATGTTGCATCTTCTTAAGATCTCTGATGTGTAGAGATCTCAACTTGGACAGAAACGGTGGTCGAAGGCTACCATCGTCGGGTGGTCGGTACAAAGGTTCTAATAGTCTCAGACCTTCATTTTCCACCACGATATCCAAAGCCTCAAGATTTGGCGCTAAAGTAGCGATGATCGTCACCAACGGATTCATTCTTGACTTGATTATTCCCGACATATAGTCGGCTTTGCGCGGAAGTCTCATCTCCTGGATAGCGCCTGTCAGCACACTGACGGCTTCATTTCTTTCAGTTTCCGGCCAGTCACTCAGGCAATCTGTCAGAATTCGATTCACGTTGATGCAAACGCGATGTACTTGTTTACCCAATTCAGGTCGCAAGACGAGCGTTCTTGCGAAGCTGATCAAGGGACCGATTCGGCACCGTCGCTTCAAATATGTATCGCTGCCAGCAGCGAGAACATACTTGAAATAGTCATAAAAGAGGATTGGCTGTGCAAGTAAACGTAGCCGTCTCGATGTTAAACACAGGCTGAGAAGTTCTGTCACATCGGTCGGGCCATGAAAGCAAGAAATGATAGCCAGGATAATCTCATTCGGTAGTGTCGAAAGCTGTGCCATAATCAAGGATTGCTTGGTGAGTGAAATAAAGCCTTTAAATGTTCGTTTTCACATCCAAACAATGTTTCGGACAGTTCTTGACTCGAAGGATGACAGCCCGAGAGTCGTCTAGAAAGAAGAGCTCAAGACCGAATCAACCGTGCTCAAGCTCTTGTATAGTGTTGAAACTGGGTATACACTGGAGCAAGAAAGAGTAGTCCAAGATTGGAAAAAGGAGTAACATAGAATTTGGATCGATAAGCGATAAGGTTGAATCTAATGTTTCCTGTTCGAGAAGTGACCCGCGCAGGTGGATCTAGTCAAGCCTATAGAGTTAGGTCCATCTTATGGATGTGAGTATTTCGACCAGGCGCGTGCCTCTAACAGGATTGTTAATCCTAGCTGCAGCCACCGGTTACGTCGCCACAAGGGGCTCCAACGGAAATACTCACATACTAAGTTAAGACATCAACACCGGAAGCCATTCTTTCATGTGAAAACATGCGACTTGATCAGCTTCAGTGGAATATTCCCGAAGGCTAAGTGGCAGCCGCCAGTTGATAAGGCTAAACTTTCCGACAAGCAAAAATCTTCCGCTTATGGTAGCACGTACCAAGCGTTAAGCGAGAGTTCATAAAGTTTATCAATCAAAGCAATGCAATGGTCTGGTTAGTGAAAATAAATTGTGCCTTTATATGGGATCGAGGAATAAACAACACATAGTGACGTCAGGTGCAAACTGGCCAAACAGCAGTGCATCCACTCGGCCTTCCTACCAATCAACACCATTTTCTTCCGACCTCAAAACATGAAGAGGCGAAAGCAAACATCTGGTGTCAGGCATACGCAAAGTACCCAAGTACTTACAGGGAAGCAGGCTTGATTGACCCCGACTACTAATGCAACTCATGCCTGGACTATTTCCTAAAAGATAAGATGTTCTACAATGCTCTCATCCGAACCCACCACATCACCTCTCGCAAGAAGGTTTCCGCCCTGAGACGTGCGGCGGACATGCACAATTGCTTTGTGCTTCTCCGCTCCGGAGGATGTCCGGGAATTATGTATGTGGAAGCAAGAGAGAAAGACGCTGTGGAGTCGTGGGTAAATATCGTGCGGAATCTGAGGTATAAGGATTTTCAGTTGGTTGTTCGGCCGGGACTTTTGGAAGAGGAAGCCCAGCCAGGCGAGGCTGGAAAACGACAGGGCCCTAACAGAAGTGAGAGGCAAAGGCCCGGAGTTGCTGAAGTTGAGACGGTCAAGGAGTTTGGGAGTCTCATGGAGCAGCGGGGAGTTTGGAAGTGGTGGAGAAAGGGGATGGGCTACATGAGCTGATGGCGTGGCAATCTTTCGTGCTTGATCATGGGATTGGTGGCTTCTTATGACATCAATTTGTTCGATTGGAGATACGACTATTTGGGACGCAACAAGCAACATCGCGGCGACTTCCCCTCAGCTGAAGTGTGAGAGTCTACGCTATATCACAAGTTTCAATCTGGTACCTTTCAGATCACTGGTCTATGGAGGAACCAAAAGACGTCAATGACCCACTACACTATAACAATGGTACATACAAACCACGATAAAAGCTTGTTGATCGCCAGTCTCGCCACTCTATACATGCTAATAGTATTACGCCTGACCATCTCACTCCGCATTATCCCGCCCAATGACTGGATTGTTCCCCGGCAAGCTGTCAATCAATCCACTCTGGCCTAGCTCATCCTTCGGCTCCACAACATCCAGATACTGTGACAGGGGTGTCAAAGCCCTTGTCTGGGTTCTTGTAACGGAGCAATCCGGATCTTCCAATCCTTGGGATCCCGTACAGGTTTCCATAGCTTGTCTCAGAGCATCCTGATCAGTCCAGCCGTGGATGAAATCGCCGTGCAATCCATACCCGGTTGCGTCACCCATGGAATACACTAAGTTTTGGTAGCTCTCTAGCGGAGCCGTGTTAAAGAAGAATTCGAGAAAGATTGAGTAGATCGCGACGGGATGCGACTTGGGACAAACACCCTTATTATAGTCACCGATCGCGGGATATGCCATCTGGAGGTGCAAATCAGCTGATGTTTCGGACGATGCTTTATGAGTTCCAACATACATGGCTTTTATGATCTGGACTATCGAGGTTTTTACCGTCCCAACATGAAGGCATGAATATCTGCGACCGCACGGCTTGGCAAGGTTGTCGCGGGAAATGCTTCGTTTCGTTCGAGCTACCGTCATATTCCATGCACATATGTGATACGGCTCGTTGAGCCATATCCGAATCATTGTATGATCTGATCTTCTCATTAGTCACAATCATTCAAGCAAAGTCGTGATGCTCGAACCTAAGATTAGGATCCCCAGCTATCATCCTCAGTCCTTCTGGCGGTGCTATTGGATACACCGAAGCGTTGCAGTATGTCATATCAACGCCATAATTGCATGCTCGGCCAAGGTAATAAATAGACTGATTGACAGAGTTAGATCGCCGCAGCATGAGACATTTTGCTCACCGGAGTGAAACATACAGTTGACTGATATTCCACGAGCTCGAAGGAACCGTCTGGCAGTTGATTGTACAGCTGCGGGATCCAGTAGTTGCTCTTATCGATAGCTACACCGCAAGTCGTCTCTCTCGCATTTCGGGCTGTGTCGAGGCCCATTGTTCTCTGAAATGCTGTGCCACCAGCAACCACGTGGACGTGTTCCGATATTCCACCTGGGGAGACTATCGGGTCGGAGAGTTGAGTGGTCAGTGGCACACAACTGAAGGTGAATTCATCGGTTGTGTGCTCCGTGCTGGTCGCTGTTTGGGAAAGCGCCAGTTGTATCACGAGGAGTGTGATGATATGGGGCAATTGTGTCCTCATGGTGGCATGAAGCAAACAAAGACTCAACACCTGAGATAACATTGCCTTGTGCTAGGGGGAAAAGGGCCTCCGGTTAGTCTTGGAAAGCCGTATTCGCATCTGCCGTGGCCACAGACATACTAAGTAACATTGTTTCCTGTAGGAAAAAGGTACCCATCCACACTTAAGCTGGATTGAATTGCGTTGGTAAGCCCAGGCTTGTGAGTGCAGTGTTTGTGTTACAATTCAAGGATGTATCAAAGCATGGAGCACGGTTAGACTTCAAGTATACTCCGAAGTAACCTCAGTTACCCATGACATGCCGCTGAAGCCTGTGGAATGTTCGCGACGGGGAAAGTTGAAGCTTGACCGCTGCTGTGTTTGGAGATGCATTCCTGACTTGTCATTTCCCCTGGCACAGCCCGCGCAGACACAACAGATGATGATGGCACGATCAATGATCTATGCACTGTACCTCACTAGCCCATTTCTGCCGGTAATTAGGTTTAGGTAGCGGCGACAACCCCTGCTGTACAAACATTCCAGAGCCTGGGTTTGTGATCTCCCAGATTTTCTTCCATTCTTTCTCAAGTAGAATCGGAGAATTTTTGCAAACATGGACTGGAACTTGGTGAGTAGTCGTCAAGTCAAACGAAAGTTGATCATAACTCGTGCGTGCTCTATACGTGATCATGCCATAGTCAACTCGTGCCGTGCCACTGATGCTTATCAGATCAGGCAAGTGACTGGTGAACTCGATGCCACGAAGGTCGGCAGAAATGAGCTAGCTAAAGCGGATGCCTGAGAAATCTTGTCCTCTAACACTGTCGATTAACAATATAGTGGATCATGACTCCACCGTGCTCATCTTCCCTCCCCTTATTGGCAAAATTGCTAGTCGTGGCTGATCCATTGTGGAGAATGGAAAATGGGCGACGTAGGAGAGAGAGCCAGTCTACAATGACACCCGGCAAATTGTGGGTACCGTACATCCATCGTGATCGCCATCCCGACTTGCATCTCGCAGTCATTTGTGTCTAGTTACAAAGGCTGCGCACCAGGGGGATGCCCCAGCCTATGAACGAACCTGCTCAAGTCGAGTTTGAATCGTCCTTTCGTCAAAAGGCCCGTCAATGCCGACATAATTGCGAAGGGCTTCAGAGAACATCAATCGTCGAGGTGCCTTCCGTCCTGTCATCAGTTCAATTTGCGAAATCGCTTGTTCAACTACGTTATCGAGACCATCGACTAACACCCATGGCCGTCCCGTCTCGCTCCTAATGCTACGCATTTGACGTAGTAGTGGCGTATCTAGTGGTTTATATGCGAACTGTGGTCAACAGGTCAGCGATGCCAATACACTTCCTATTTCGCCAAGATACCAACCTCAAGAACCACTCCTCCAGTGGGGCTGCCCAACCATTGCATCGGCATCTCGAAGTTGGCGGGCGGCTCATCCCGATCAGGGTCTGCTGGCACACAGGATGCAATCATGCAAGGGGGGCAAGCTTCGGTAGGCCACTCATCTTTGAGTGATTTCAACACATACACCACTTCTGTTGCATCCACCTGAGAAGCTGCCCAGGAATTGAAGTGTCGGGCCACACTCTCGGCCCGTGGCAATGTGCGGTTGTATATGAAGATCTTTCGGCACCCCAGCCGGAGCATGGCATAGACTGCCGCGCGAGCCATGCCACCCGCTCCGATCACCAAACCCGTCGTTTTCAACGGGCTAATTGCATTGCGTGGGGAGAGATTGCGGTTGATGCAGGTCATAATACCTACCCAATCCGTATTCTCTCCGTACCACCCCACCACAGGCCCGGCCTGGTTACGTCGACTCGCCTGTTCTTGCAATGAGTACATGGTGCCATCAGCGTTAGCCCGTAATGGCATGATCGTGTTAATGGCCCCAATGGCCTCAACGTGGCGGCTTTTGGCCACAAGTTTGTGGGATAACTGTACTCTCCAGGGCTGAACCACACTCGCCCCTCCAAAATGCGGATCCCGGCCTAGCCGATCCAAGATTGCAAGAGATGGAGACTCGGATATTGTGTAAGTGTGGTTCATGCCACACTGTCGAAAAGCGGCGTTGTGCATTGCGGGAGAAAGACTATAGGCTACATTGCCGCCCAGAATGCAGAACTTTAGAGGGTCGAGCACATAACTTTGAAACAGTGCTTGGATAGCATCACGGGAAGTTATCTGGGGATCTCGTTCGTTATCTGAAGAGCGTTCAATCGCGGGATGCGTTACACGAGTGAGAATGGAGTTGAATACTTGAGAGGTCCGTCCAAGGCTGCCCAAATTATAGGCGATGACTGGCAAATGTCCTCCGGGAAGAGCCTGAACCCTATTTGTGAACTTCACAATCGCCGCATTCTCCTCCCGTGCCGTGACGACACGGAGAAATCGGACCAGCTGACAGCCAAGCTTCTCAGCTTCAAGGTAAAGATTAAAACATTCTTGACTCTCCCATGTTTCGGGGGCAGAAGGCTCAAATATGCGTTGAGCAATGATCTTGGTCCTTCCCCTGGTACGAATCACTTCGCTAATTTGAGACCGATCCTGCTCAAGGTCAAGCGCCAGGTACTCGACTGCCAGCCGCAAGCTATGCTCCACTATGGCAACATATGCATTGTTGACTTGTGAAGTAGAACGGTTGTCTCGGGCAAGCCCTGTGGGAGAAGTATCGATAGATATTATGATTGGAGTACGAGCACTCCGTCGTAGCAATGAAACATGCTTGCTCATAGTTGCTGCCATGTCCGCACCCCAGCGGTCAACGCAGAGCTCAATGGCATCTCCACCCGACTCCAATTCAGGTACCTTGACAGTGCCTTCAATCAGATCAGAAGATCGCACAAAAATAGCATGGGTATAAGATCGGAGCTCTGGCGGTGTCTCGAGGAGGACAAAAGGCGAGTCATAGCTGGTATGGCCAACATCTGTACCGGTCACGAATCGCACAAATCGGGTGAAGTCTTCTTTAGCCTCTTTCAGTTTGAAAGAGTAATCGACACAGCGGCGGTCCGGAGTCCCTTCATCTGTCTGGGCAGCCAGACTGGAGCGATCTTCGATGTTGTAGAATTCGAAATTGGAGCATGTTCGGTGCAAAGGGTCACCCTCGCCAAGGAGTTTGACGGCCTGATCCTCTAAGCCTAAGAGACTCTGTATGCGATCCATATCGCGGACTATGTACACGATGGGGTTGGTGGCCGAATATTGACGGAGATGTTCTTGCACAGGACGAGTCAGACTTCCCAGACCACACTCAATCACGCACCGCGAGCGGTGGTTGTCCAGCATGGATTTGAGAACTTCAATATCGCGCTTCTGGAACTCTTGGCTCCCATAACGCTTGAGATAGTCATGTCTCGAGTAGCCCGTGCGTTCCTTGAAGTAATGATCCTCAGTGATAAATCGTCGGTTCAGGGCTGTTGCAGCGACAAACCCCAGAGACCGTTTGCCGCAACCTCGGATTCCCACCAACACTAACGAAGCATCCGGGTCAAATTTCCGGCGCTTATCGACTGGAGACTGCTTATGCATCGCTTCAATTGTTATGGATTGGAGCTTAAACGCGTTGCGCAACTCGTATCGCGTGCACGGGTGCGTAGGGACAACCCGTTCCGGGACAAAGGGAAGATGCGTTGGGAGTTGATCGCGCTGGCGTAATACCTTTGTAGAGATTCAATTGCTAGGTGCAATAGTTTTACCTGCTGCTGCATAATAGATCCAAGCAGGCCATGATGCAGGCGACGGTTGGAGGAAGAGCGAAGGGCAATTGGTATTGGAGCAACAGCTGCGGAGAGGTTGTACTGGGGAAATTGGCGGTGGGGGGAAGAAGGATCTTGCGACAGACAGCTGTGAGCCTGTGACAAGGGCGGTCAGTTGGGGCCGCGGGCATGCTGCGGAGACGCCGGAGGGACAATTCAATCTCACAACTGGATCCAGACAGACTGTGATTGGTTTGCTCACTGGGAGAAGATGGGGACCACCCCAAGAGCGCGTGCGGGCGGTTGACGGCAGTTTATAGCGGAACCGAGCCCTCGAAGCCGGAGCTTTTCCTGGCAGCAGACTTGGCCATTCTCATTTTTCGACCAGCTGTCTTTGGCGCCATCTGCTGAAAGCCACCGCCCGCCCACCTTGCCATCGACGGTCTTTCGGTTAAGCACTTTGCCGGACGGACTCTCTGCATCATTTCCCACAAGTCTCTTGCAGGCTTACTGTATGAGCTGTACGAGTGGATATAGCAGACAACTTAAATGTGCCGAGTTCCTGTCACCGCTCCACTCTAGTTGCAGGCAGAAGTAATGGGAAATTGGGACTTCCAATCAGTTAGTGTCCATGAGGAGCTGGGCAGCTGAATCTCCATTTTCCTGAGCTTAATAAGACTCAGGGATTTTACCTTGTTAACAACGGAAGAGGGGTGATTGCTGGATAGATAGTATGTACTATACAGAATACTTCCTGTACTTACTTCCAACATGTCGAAGTTCTGCGTAAATCATTGAATCGGGATGCCGAGTGTTCTTGGCTCGGGAAGAATAAATAGCTTACTTATCCTTAAGAGCAGGTCAGACTTGTGGTATGGGATTGAGCTCTACACTCTACACTTCTATAGAGTACGGGGTCGGAGTGGTTAACTATAAACAGCCTGGCGTGAACCTTGGAGCCGCAGGACTACGTACTCCTGGGGGAGCGTCACGAGTGAGCCCCTGTGGAAATTAAATTATCGCCTCAGTGGGGTGAAGAAGAGAAGCGCCGCTTCTCCTCATTTTGGCCCATCATTGACTTCTGGTAATATAATGGCCGAGAAAAATCTTTGTAAGGGACTCCTTCGTAGCCGCGTAGATTTGCTTGAAGTGTGCAGTGTGGGACGGTGACTATTTTCGAATGCCTTCAGCGATTGCTGTACTGGTTGTTCTTAATATAAATCAAGGCTGTTGTACACAGAGGGCAGTGCTCAATGGTAAGTTGTTGCTATTTTCTGCAGCTAGCATGCGCGTTGTCTTAAAAGCTCCTTGTCAATATTAAGACTATTAGTGGTCTGGCACAAAGTCCCAAGGTCCCAATTTCCCACAATGAAATCAGTGGAAATCGTGGAGAAGCCGTGGGGATCCGGTGTGGGGTGAGAGAAGGCCTCACTCGCCGCCTGAGGCTAACAAGCCTAGACGTGGTTCCCGACGGAATCGCCCATTTTCTATTCTACGGCGTACGGAGTAGTACGGAGGAGTCTCATCATGCCCTTCCCCCCCCCAATAATAATATTATTATTATTCCCGAACTTTGGTTCCGATGTCTTCCCGCCCCCTTCCCTTCCACTCACTATTCCTCATGTTCATCATTCATTTTCTGACCGCTGCTACTGCCCGCTACCCTTGACCCTGGTGAACGTATCTCGTCACTTTCTGTTTTCCCCCAGCTAATCGAAAAAGTAAAAATTTAAAAATTCTAAACTTGGCTGCCTTAGAATGGGGCAGGTCCAGTTACTTGCCAATATTGGACGGACCAACCTCATTCGACACCCAAAAACAGCAGATAGAGAGACCCTGGGCTGTGGCTGTGGTTCAACTACCAAGGCTTCTTGACTATTCTTGCGTAATTCCCACTTTCCTCCTCTATCTGGGGTTCTTAGATTCCCGACTGCGTTTATAACAAGCGGCCATGCACGGTTCGAGAGTTTAATCCAATCGAGTGCCACACCTTCATAACCATCACCACTACTTACCGATCACCTTCTCGGCTGTATCGCCCCTGTTCTCGGCTTCTTCGTCTCTTTGACTCGGCTCATTGAAGACCGGCGCTCTACCCTTCCAGTTGCGCTCAGGATTCGTTTCAATTACCCTTCCATCCCTCTTTCCTATTCTATCTCTCCCTACATGGCTATGCCATTGCTTTCCGCCATATAGCCCTCCTCAATGGATGAGGGTTCTGATCCGAAAGCCCCCCGCCGGAAGAGGGTATCTCGGGCCTGTGATCGATGTCGGAGCAAAAAGGTCAGTTGTCACTTCTGTGCATCTCGCTTTGCTTTATCAATGCCGTGATCCCACAATCTCCGGGCCTCCCTGGTCTGTCCCCATCGGTGTAATATCACCCGAGCCGCGCGTGGGTTGCTGCAACTTGCGACATCACCCACTTCATGAATGTACCCCTCGCTTCATTCGATTGACCTCTCATTCCTCTCCCCCTCCACTCATGTCGCTGCTATCAACCCAAATTCTTCGTTCGCCCTCGCCCGTCAAACCACGTTGACACGAACTTCCGCTACAGGACAAATGCGATGGGCTCCGTCCGGCCTGCTCCGCCTGTCAGGCCTCGGGCCAGACCTGTTCTTACGACCCCCACGCGAAGAAGCGCGGCTTACCGGAAGGATATGTCCGCGGTCTAGAGAAGCTGTGGGCCCTGTCGATCTGCAACATCGAGGGCTTCGAAGACACCATGCTAGCCCTGCTAGGCACTACAGCTGAATCAGCGAATCGAAGAAGCAAGCTCATGTCCATTTGGTCTGACGACAGCGCCTCAGAGTCCCTGCATGAGTCGTGGAAGAAAAGCCGCCTATTCGGTGCGCTCGAGAAGATGCTGTCAAATTCGGACCCATCGCCAAACCCATCAGGAAAACGGCCTCGCGATGGTCATGATAATGGCTTGACTGGGTCGGAAACCGAATGGGGATTTCGCATCGACCGGAGCTCACCACATCATTTACATGATTCTCCGCGCGTAGTTCAGCCGTCCAGCTCGTCGCAGGTCAAGCGACCTAGATTATCATTACCACCCGAGAATCCGACCGCGTTCCAAGCCAACCAGGGGGCACATGGGCTGCAATTACCGCCGCAAACTTCGCAGCTCTTGGATGTCTACTTCGCCGTTACTCACTCGTGGTTCCCCATTGTCGCCAAGCACAATATTCTCCGTGCCTCTTATCTGTACGCAGGCGCGCCTGTGTCCGTGGTGAAAATGGCACCCGGTTCGGGTGACCATGCTGCTCTTTGGGCTTTGCTCAGTTATACCATTTCGCAATCCCAGCTCAACCCGCGGGACGGGTCCTCGAAGGTGCTCACTCAGACCAAGGAATATTATGCGATCGCTCGCTCTTTGATTCCTTCCGAGACTGAACGTTATGAACTCGGACATGTGCAAGCACTGCTTCTGCTCACACTGGTGAACATTGGTCTGGAAGATTGGACGGCTGCTTGGCTGTTAAGTGGCCAAGCAGTCCGAGTGGCTGTCTCTATGGACCTAGGTGTCTTTACAGATGTACGACGATCTGACGAGCTACGACAGGGCAAGGCGGTCTTCCTCGGCTGTTTCGTCATAGACTCGTTGCTGTCGTTCCGTATGTCGAGGCGGCCCTCGATGCATCCGCGGGATCTTACCACTGTGGGCTTATTAGAGGAGGATGGTTTGGAAGAATGGAATTCTTGGGCAGACGTGTTGCCCCCTACGACAGTCGGGCAGGGCAAGAGTCCGCGGCGTGGCCCTCTTCTCACGCTAAGCTGCTTCAACCGACTGGTCGAGCTAGCCAGCGTGCTGAACAAAATCGCTCGCGACTTCGCACCAGGCTCGGGTGCTCCACTCTTTGCTCAGCAGTTGGTTCTAGAACTCAAGCAATGGGATGATCGTTTGCCTCTCGGATGCCGCTTGATTGGCCCCGAAAGCATCTATCCGGAACGGCATTCCGCCTTACTGCCCCATCAGAGCTATCTGGGACTGACTTATGTCGCTACTCTCTTGTGGCTTTATCTTCGTATTGCTCCTCAGGAGCTAGGGTTGTCCCGGTCTCAACGTCCAGCTGTGGAAGGAGCAAAGAAGATTCTTTACCGCGCTCTTCCGATCATCACTCAGCATCTGGAGAATTTCCAACTCTGTGGACTGCCACCTATCTTTGAACTCTCTCTACGGACAATAGCCGAGCAAGCTTTTGTCTTACGCAATAAGATTGAATCGGACATGTTCCCTTTCGCCCAATGGGCGGAAGCATTGGTTGAGCGAACGACTCTATTGGGCACTACTTGGCCTGTATATCGCTCATTGTGCACCATGATTGACCATTGGAATCGGTCCAAGGACCTACCAGGAACCCCAGTGGCGCCTGCTCAGAGAATTGAAACGGAGGGTACCCCACGATCAATACACGGAATCACCAGTAACCCGTTCCCGCCTGCATCCATACCGACCTCATCAGTTGGGTATCAGAGTATCTCCGGGGAGACATCCTTGAATGCCCAAGCGCGAAGAAATGCCTCTAACTTGCGTGAACCTGATTACATGACGTCCATCGCGGGTATCAGCATTCCAGTGGACGGACAATACATGACACCAAAAGACACAGCCATGGAAAATGCAGACCTTTCAATGATGGATGCATCTTTCCAAGGCTCCACTGGGCGGGCAGCGGTCCATCTGGACAAGTCGAGCCCTGCGAACGGGTTGAGTGTGGCTATGGCACGAGGACCACATTCTCACCCAGCAACTCCCGACTCTTCCGTATCAACATCCATGAGGTCGGGAATTGCCGGAGCACCCGGTGATCTTTCTGTTCCCCGGAGTGATCAACTAGACCCCGGTAATCTCCGAACCACTAATCCTGGGGAGTCCCATATCGGATCGACAGGCGATATTGATGCTATCTTCCGAGATCTGGCTTACCTCGATACGACAGAATGGGCCACAAATCGCGAGGCCGCGCTGAAGGATTTCGGTTTCATCGACGACAACACGTTCCAGGCGTTCTGTCATGATCCAGATCGACTTGTTGGGTCTCAGCCATTAGTTCATCCGCCCTCAATTGCGGACATATGGCCGCCTCCCGGCTTCTTCCCGGAGACCTTCCAAGAGCCGATGGAGGAGACTATGGAGGGTTAGCTGGGGTGCTCGTGGTTGGCAACTCTATGGAAAGGTTTGCTCAAGGAAGAACACCCCATCTGCTTCCCCTGGTCATGGTTGATTCAAGGCTTGTGATGCTATGAGCGTAATTAGAGCACACAATGGGCGGCGCTGTTGGTGCATTGCGGTCATCCTTTTCTTACCTTGTTCTATTTCGATACCCAATGCAAGCGCACTACAGGTATTCCGTCTCATCGGCTTTGTTTATGGGATTGACAGATATTGCGATGTCGAGAGTTCCAGATATATGACATGGTATAGTAGGCAGTAACCGGAGGTTGAACAGTATAGCATTGGTCGATGGTATACCTTCTAGTATAGTACAGGTGTTGTACATCTTATATCCTGGAGCCGCCTACATTATCGTCTTCAAGTTCATCTATTCCAGGAAGAAGGCATCGTGAATCCACGTATACAATGGCTAAGTGTCAAATGACAGTGCCATGAGCTTTGCGCTTGAGAATTTGAAACGAAGAAGAGCCACAGCCCCAATTCCTCGCTTAGATACGAGCCCATGCGGAAACTCGATCCTATTAAGTTGGGTTCCGCGAGACTGTCCATTGGACACGCTTTTTCTACGTGCCTCTAGTTGATGGCCGACATGGATTACCTACTTAGTATCGCCTCCGGCTATTGCATGCTATCGCGGCAGCAGCGACTCTAGGCAGGAGTTTACATACCAGCTATATGTCTGTATGGATAGTATCTGCATTACTCGTATCCATAACGAAATCAGATATACTCCCGCCCCCCTCCCTCTCGCCGTAAACAAGCACCGGAGATGATGGCGCCCTGAACTCAGCATGCGATTATTGGGATCCGCAGGAGTCAAAAAGATGTGGGATTCTGAGCAATTGGATCTATTGATCTTGGCTCATCGCAAGACGCATATCTTAGGGGCTACCTACTTAGTAGAATGCTCTCAGACGCAACCCCCCTATATAACCAGCTAGCTAGATAGGGACCCGGTTGACTGCAGCTAGCTGGAGCGGGTTCGCTACCTTACCCATACCTCCGCCCAATATAAATCCAGTTGGCATCTACCTTACTTGCACTTATGTCCTCTCCCACTGCACGCGCTCATCTATCCCCTGCGCCCCCTCTTTTCGTTGCGGGTAATTTTTCAGGCCAATCATTCAGGTTGCCCTCTTCAGCCACCTCACGTCCAAAGCTTGTGGTTTACTGCGGAGTAATAAACTTCATGGTACTATTGACTCGGGAGGGGTGGAAGGCTAGGGCAACGACAGGTACATACTTCACAGAACATCCAGTAGGTATATATACATTATTCTCACTGATGAGGTAGGTCCTCGGAGGCCCCCGGCCGTTCTGGGCACTTATGTTTGTTGATATACATTTAGTCATCCAACCTCCTCCAACTCTTATCCCCACCTTCGGGTTCGGATTGCCTTTCTTTTCGGGGCTCATGCGGTCGCCACGGCTTCTTATCTTTTATACAGGTGGGTACGGACTACCTCGGAGGAGCTGTCCGTCATTAGCTCCCTAACTACGGAGACATACCAGGGATTCGTGGTGGACAGTGATCGATGCTTTGTTATCTTGAGAAATCGGAATGATTGGTCGTACACACCGAGTGCCAATGATGCGCTGCGGGAACAATTGCCGGCTGCCTGCGGGGTGTTAAGCCCTGTGCGTTAGTTGATGCGTACATCTTGACACCGCTCTGATTATCGGATTTGGTGCCAGTGGTTGGAGGTTAGGGAGCCGAGTGAGGAGCTTATCTAGAATGCGATGTTGAGGGGATTACAGCCTGTACACTCTTCAAAGGCAGGAGTTTGTTGTCAGCGTGATATCGGCACGCTTTGGAATCATTAGATATATTAGTTTTCACTTTTGCATAATCATAATGCCTATTGTCATTACCGTCAATGCACATCGAGAATTCAATGCTGCATTCCGTCCCATTAATCACGCCAAGCTGGAAATGAAAAGGCCCCCCAAGAGCACCACGAGAACACCGGCCATAAAGCTTTTCGAAAATATAGCTCAGGACCATAATCAGATGAAACCTCCGCCCCTTTTGCCCCTGGCAGACGCAGGAAAACAAGCACGCAAGATCATCATTATAATCCGGAACGCCTCGACCTATCTTGTCAGTCGTATAGTGTATAAAGTAAATTTAAATAAGAGATATTCATCTTTCGGATAGAATGCACGAGCCCCAGAACCTGCTTTCGAGTGATTCATGGAGAATGAGGACAAAGTCATCGTCTCCATCCTACATTCCATATCACGTGAGCGATGTCTTTGGCGGTATTCATTGTATCGATAACGCGATCAAGGATGCTCCCGTTCAAGCTTTCTTCGTCTTCAGTCGGAGTACGCGTACCCGGTGACGTCGAGTCAAAGTAGTGGCCGAGCTCTTCGTCATCTTCGGGATTTACAAACCATGGACGGCTGGTGTTGGATGGATCGTGGGAGCTCCGGCTCGAACCCCAGTCAAAGGTATAATCGCTATCATCTTCGTCCAAGAGAAAGTTGGCGGAAGTAGAGGGCCGAGCAGTCTTTGCCGAGGAAGTCGACGAGGAGAAGTAGTAGGACCAACGGTCCATTATTGAGCCTGCCGGAGGCTCGGGAGTGTCACCACGATACTTCAACGTGGTCGAGGGAAGGGGGGCAATGGTTTTGTTATCAGCACTGAAGCAACCACGAAGCGTGGCTTGATCGCTCCGCCTTGTGTCAGGGTGAATCTGTTTCATCATCACGACACCGTCTTCCGAGGACGAGTCATCGCGAACCGCGGGCCCTTCATCGTCTTCCTCCTCTTCCTTTGCTTCCACTGCGATGCATTGCACTACTTCATTGTTGAAGTGAATATGTCGTCTTTCACTGGGAGACCCAATGCCTGACGATGTTGTCTCGGTAGTGGTTCCGCGAAGAGACGCTGAAACAAAAGTAGCTGCCAATTGGTTCGGCACCTGCCCAAGATCCGAGGGGCAGCGTTGGAAAGACGGTCGACTTCGATTCGTCTCCGCTTCCTGTGCTTTCAAAATAGCCCCTGCATGCTGTAGGAGAGTATGTTGGGATAAAGAGCGTTGAAGGATGGTTTCGGAGGCGGTTCTCTTCTTCAGTATTGGCTTTCTGTCAGGGTACAGAGTTGGCGTTGCGAATCGACTCGGCGGAGGGGAGTCGTTCAAAGCCGGCTCCCGTCTATCGCACGTTTTCAGTGGCCCATACAGCCATGTAACGTCACAGTCTTTAAGCCTAGTGCGGGTTCGTTAGAATGTCCGCTGACTGACCAGAAGACGAAGAACCTACCAATTTAAAGTCTCTGGGGATACTGTACCCAAATTCATCTTCAGCTTGCCCCATGTCCGCCATGACGCATTCTCCAACCTCAGTCCGTTGTCGTAGGCGCTTCGACGAGCGACCACATAACGCCACGAAGCCCATATGTCTTCCTGCCGCCACTCGTGAGATAGATAGTCGACATGTCTCGATGGCTCATCTTCAATTGAACTATCATCGGCAGCTGGTGTCTGCGCCTTCCACCGCTGAAGATCCGCCGACGAGTCTACCGACACTTCACTAAGGGCTTCCGGTTCTTTTGGGAGGAACTGATTAGAGTCATACGATGGTAGTATCAATTCGCTGTCATCTTGATCATCGCCGACACTCAAAGATAGACTGCTAAGGGTGGTGGCTCTCGAGGAGAAATGGTCCGCGGCTGAGAGTGCAAGGTCCGAGGAGGGTGAGTCGGACGGATGCATAGATGTGATTGAGTTCGTGTACTCTGGTGGATGGAAGCCATGGACAGCAGACTTGGCGGTAGCAATCTCAGGCTCCTCAATGAAATAGGTCTGAGTGATAGCAGAGCGGAAAGAATCCGGAGGGAAACGCGCGTGTTCCTCTCGGGAGGCGGAAAGAACGGCCGTCATCTTCGCAGCAAAGCCGTGCAAGTCAATGGAGCGATATCAGACCAGCAAGCTTACGGGAGGCGAGAGAAGGGTGGCCCAAGAAATGCGATCAGTGGAAAGAGACAAGGACACAGCTCGAAGATGATAAGGGTCTGCGACTGTCGTTCACAGTGTCGGGCAAAGCGACAAGCCTCGGATCTAGCGAAAGCGCCAGTGGGCTGAGATCATGGCGGGGAGATTGTGGTCAAGGTGGAGGGCGATATGTACGGGACGAGTTGATCTTATACCGCGAATCGAAGAGCGAGCTAGAGAACCCGGAGGAGGGGGGGAGGCGGAATGGCTGTTCCAGCACCCACAAGGTGAACAGAGTTAGAACCGACCGAAGAGCGCTGGTCAGGGACTGTGGGATGGTTCGGTTGCACGAAAGGATCGGAGAAGGGTGTAAATCAGGCAGTCAAGGAATCTAGACTGAGGGGGGCGAACGGTCTGGAAAAGACCGGGGGCGAGGAGATGGAAAAGCAACTGTAGTAGATAGAAGCACAGGGAGAGGGGGAGAGAGAGCTAACACGTAAAATAAACGTTGGAAGGGAAATCGGCGGAAAACCGGGAAGAGACAAAGCAGTAAGTATTTGATAGTGGCGGCGGGTGGAGATCGGGGTGGCATCAAACAGACGTTTACTTGCGATTATCTATTCTGGGAACTCGTGTTGGACGCCAAATTGCGAAATTTATCTCTCCCTGTAAACTTTGGCTACTTGCTTTCTTTCTTTCTTTCTTTCTTTCTTTCTTTCTTTATCTCTCTCTCTCTCTCTCTCTTCTCGGTGAATCACTTTCCCAACCGCTCACTGGCTAGAGCTTCGGTATCCGAGGGCGACGGTCGAGGAGGTCGAGACCGACCGAATGACTGGTTCTCATAGGTTTTTGGAAAGAGCAAAGGACGCAAGATTGAATATCCGCAGGCAGTATCTGGACTGGAGAGAGACTCGATTAAGATTGGCGTTGACGCGTGGGTGATAGGAATGAATGAGGCGGAGGATAAGGGAGAATGGATACGTCAACGGGCAACTAAAGAGGTACGAAGTGTCAGGGAGGCATTTAGTTTGTTAATCCTAGATTCTAAGTCACTAGTCTAAGCTAGTAGGAAATCAGTGGAATTCTTAGCGGGATGTTCAGAACCTCGAAGAACAAAATAGGGACAGTAGGGTGTGGACTGAGCTGCATTTGGGATTGGGGGGGAGGGGGGGGGATAGAATGGGACAGAGAGAGAGAGAGAGAGAGAGAGAGAGGCTGGAATGGATTGGATTGCCACCAATTTAGTCTCCGTCATGATAGAACAACCGAGTGTGGGTGGAGATCAAGCTACGACACTAGGCTTGTTGTAACCTACTTTCTCTACCGTTAGTGTAACTTTGGGGGATGGAGAGACTCGGAGACTCTTCTAGAGCTGGAGAGGGGAAGAAAAGAAAAAGGAAAAAAAAGAAAAGAAAAAAAAATGATGGTTGATTCGAACCGGCGCGGGGGGCGGGGGTTCCACCACGGTGAACCACTGGTTGTGCTTGAAAGTCTAGACAGTATGTATACATGGCATGAGTAACGACGTACTTTGAGATACCTGTAAACCCTTAGAGTGATTGGCAATCTAATCCCGGATTGATGAGAGATAAATAAAAATTGCATCATTCAGAACGAAGGGGGTGATATTTGCAGTTGTGACAGCTTTTAACTTCCGTTCAACGTCAATATCAGGAATGAAACAGAATTCAGGTTCAATGGGTCTATGATGTCCACCAGTGCCCAGTGCCGCGGCGGTTACTTTTGGTTACTCTGTTTGGAGTCGACTCTATTGCATTGCATTGTCAGTTACTGTCTGTCAAACCAGTCAAACCAGCCAAACAGACAGATGATGATGATGTTATGCATCCACTCTCTCAGGTCACCCCGCCGCCCGTGCTCAGGGCTGTCACGGCTACTGTGCCTCAAGTTTGGTACGTACCTCGGACTGAGTGGACCATTGTATGGAGTTGAGCGGGGGAAAAGAGACAAGAGTAAGAAACATTTCTTCGGAATAGAGCGGAATGTCTCAGTTAGAGGTACGGGCCCTATCTACTGACACTGTACTGTACCTAGCCTCTTGCTCGAGCATGCACGGATGTTTTGCCGCAGGCAGTCTAACTGGTGGTTCGGATTCTCCCGCAGCCTAACGGAGCGATTAGGACCGGAACAAACCAAGAGCTACCTATCTACATACGTACTCTGTATTAAACAAAGATACGGATGAGACCCTCGCCTGTGCCTCGTCCTTTCGCCCCTTCAACTCTATCATGGTGCTTGCGGCCTGCAAAGGGCATCTTGGCTGCATCTTAATCTCTTCAATGGTCCAAGCGCATTGGCACATCTGATTGGATTCATATTCATCCGGACCCATCTAGACTCTCCCAATGTCTGAACGCGTTGCACTGTACCAATCTGCATCATGATGATAAAGAAAAGCGCAGCCAGCCAACGGTTGGTGACAACATGGCTTTCAGGCTTCTAGGCGAGCAAGGAAGCATCTGCCAGTTGAAATCACAGGAGCGTGTATCAGGACGCCGCCCTGGTGGTGCCAATTCTTGCTTGTCTGCGCATACGCCTCAACCTCGCTGGAGATGTAACCTCGAAAAAGTTGGGGTCTGGAACCTAACTCCTACCACAATCATGAGGAAGAGGACTCGAGTATCTGAATCAAGTATGGTTTTCAAGATTCGTCGGGCGGTTCGATGCACGTCAGTCAACGGCTGGCGGGGACGGTGGAGACTTGGGAAGGTGCAAGGACCTTTCAAGGTTAGGTTCCCACGAGGGTCTATCCTACGCTTCTCTTTGGTCGGTCGGCTATCATGATAGGAAAGCCATACAACTTGGAACAATTTACTCCTCTTCAATCTGAAGGGAGCAGGTTACAGCATTCATTTGCTTGGATTGTCATTTGTCAGCTTTGGTTGTCCTGCGCAAAGAGCCCTGTCGTTTAAGAACCTTCCCCTGGGGCACAATGGAGAGGGCCTCAATCACTTATCAGCTGTTACTTGGGGGTGTTGACGCCTTTAGACGCCCAATGCAAGTATCGAAGGATAGTAGGGATAAAAGCCGGTTGAGCCGGTTGATCAAGCTGGCCTATTTCTTCCATCGGGATACGTGATGACCCCCGTAACTCAAAGAACGGCGGCAGTCTTTATTGATTGCCGGCCCGGTGTTTGGGATAAGCACCACGCTTATTATCCCGGGTATCGTATTCGCCCTACTCATTCCCAGGTACCTTCGAATCTATAGTCTGACCTGGTGGCGGGTTGTCAGTCTAGCACTAATCTCCGCAAGGTATAGTCGCGAAATGATCCACATCTAACACATCTCAGTTCGGGCTCTCCGGGGATGAAAGGAAGGTTAGTGACGTGTCCCGCGGTCGACTAGTGCGCCGGGCTGTCATACTCCTGATATCATTCCCAGAGTATTATCTACTGGCTCCTTGGCTGCATCCAGGGCTAGCTGCGCTCGACCGTTGTCTATTGAAGACCAGATCTGCTTTGGCAATGCATTCGTCTCGTCCGGTGAGAGGGGCCATTGTATTCTTCGAAGGAGAGAAAAGGTCGCCTTGATTTGAGGATGCCGTAGATCCCAACCGCATCGGGCCATGGACGCAGAAGAAAATGAACTAGCCCCGTGCATGTTTTGTACAGGTGCTGCGATTGTATTTATTTGGGATCCCAAAAAGTTAAATAAGGTCAATGAATATAGGCACCCAGGTTACATGTTATGCGTCGGGTCCGGATGCTCTCAGATATGCTCGCATAAATTTCTGTATCACGATCAAAGGCACATCATCTTACCATGATTACACAGTATGCACTGTAAAAGAACCTTTCTTCTTCGGCGCCAAGGCCATCTTGTCGATTATAGCCTTTTTTTCGATCGTGGGCGAGGCTTTGGTAAGGTGAAGCCGCTCTATCCCAAGCTCTATACCCACAAAAGTCATTCGAATCCATTGGAATCTCTCGATTTGCGAATAGTCCTACCAAAGTGATGTCTGCGGTCGAAAGAAGGTCATTCCCGGGGCGAGGATTCTTTCGGTATCTTCTCTAGGGAGTCCATGCTCATGTTGAGCACAAGAAACCAGCTGTCGACTCTCGTCAGGGCAATTTCGACAGCTACTGAAGATCGCTATAGCACTTATGCTCGATGCACAAGGGCACTGGATTATGTGAGTCAGGAAAAGGCCGATAGACGATTATTGATCAATCCAAGAAGCACGGCCCCAGGATAGCCACGGTGAGATTCCCCCTATAGGTGCTTGTACTGCAGTAAATCCCACTTTTTCTTTCTTAAGGCACTTCATTTATCTCCGATCTCAAGCGCAATATCGATCTTCTCGTGGAGGCGTCGAGTACCCGCAGAAAAGAGCATCTACCTGCTGACTAGCTCTTGTTCGCCTGCTTCGGGCTTCTAAGGTTTGCCCTTTCCTAGCAACCAATTCGTCTTAATTCTGACACTCTTCTCAAGGCTAGTTTGCCGTCATAGCTACTATCTCCTATGGTGCTTTCGAACAGTTTCCGAGTCATGGAATTGCCACCAGCCGACACAAAACGGATGCTGTTTTATGAGCCCTGTGAGTGTGCCGAAAGCGAATAGTCGACATTCTGAGTCCCTCAGTATCGCGTAACACAGAGACTTACGAGATGAACAGAGAAACGACTTTACTTCTACTATGTTCGCGAAAGTCTAACAGCCTGGTACCAAATTCAGGAGTTGTAAGACTAGCATCTGTTTGTGCTACTATCACGTTACACACAACGATTGTTCTTCACTCAACAGTCCCCAAGTTTCTAAGCAGGTCAGAGCTTTTCGAAGATGGTATTTTTTCGTCACATGAGCGTAGTTCCATGTTTACATGGGGTTAATCACTCTCCCATTTCTCTTCAAGCGAAAATCCCTGGGCTATGCATCGACCAGTTCATGTTCACGTGACTCATAGTGCGGAAACAGTTAGTGGATTGGCTGCAATCCCGACCCCGCGTCAACTTGATAAACTAAGAGGCGGATGATAACACCGCATGCGGAATTTCTAAATTCAACTTTGGAAAGCCACTTCCGTTTTCTTCTCCCTTGAACTCCTTTACTACCAGATATCGAGAGATCGCTACTTCAGAGATGGCGGACGTTGAGCGAACCAGTCCAGTGGAACCTCAGGCAAAGCACATCCTGTACTGTGGAGGTGAGTGCCCATTCTCAACTCGAGCTCCGGCGATCAAGAGAAATACCTCTCGCGCATGTCTGAAACTCAAACATACAAGGCTAACGCAGCATTTACGTTTCATGAACAGTTTGTACGCTGCCTGCAGAAGTATGGCCATTACCCTAGCTTTGTCTCAGCACGTGACGATCAGCAATGTTTCCAGTTGAGCGGCTCCTCGAACAAAAGCGGTTGACTCTTGCATTTCCAGTACTGTGAATTCGGCGGAACGGCGAAGAAGTGCGAAGAATGGCTCAAAGACACGCACCCGGACGCGTACCAACAGCTATACTCTGAAGGTCTGTCTGCTCTCTCAAAAGGCCTCGGCGGCCAATGAAACCCCGGCAACTGACTCTGGCCTGGTTTGTAGAAGCCCTGACATCCAAATTATCCTCACTTTCGGTGTCTGCGCAGGAGCGCGCTGCCAAGGATGCGGCTAAGAAGGAGGCAAAGGCTGCCGCGGCAGAGGCACGCGATGCAGAGCGGAAGGCAGCTTCTAAGGTGCAGATCAAGCGTGTTGAGCGTAACAAGCGCAAGCATGTCACCGTCATCACAGGCTTGGATATATACGGCCTGGAGAACAAGAAACTCGCTAAAGAGCTTGGCAAGAAGTTTGCGACTGGTTCTTCCATGACTCGCTCTGCTGGAGGCACCGAGGAGATTACAGTTCAGGGTGATGTCAGTGAAGACGTGAAAGAATGGTTATTGGAAATTTATGGCAAGGAGATACCTGAGGCCAATATCGAGCTTATTGAAGACAAGAAAAAGAAGTCTAGCAGCTAATTCGCTGTCTCGATGATCTTATATATAATGGCAAGTTGAACGCTTAATGTTCTAAATCAAATGCTTGGATGCAAATGAGTATCATGTCTTCATGCATGCAAAATCCAATAGAAACGCAACGGATTCGAGGTTCCGATAGTGTACACACAGGACATTCTTATAGCTCATCAAGGAAAATCAACGGGTCGTCGTTTGTAGGCTTCGAATTACCGGATTCCTGCGGCAAAGTAGTCTGGGTTGGTTGTTTGATCCACGTGTGACTATTTCGCCCCTTTGGTTTGTGGTTGTCATCGTGCCGAGCACTATGTCCCACGACTGCCGTGGCCGAATTCATGCTGCTAGGAGGAGCTGGAGATAGTATTGTATTCTTGTTTTGAATGGCAATGACCAGGAGCATTGCAAATACACCTGCTGCCACCAAGGCCCAGAACATGCGGAGCCGTCGATTCACGCGATCCTGCCAATCCATTTCTTTCTTCTCCCAGCGATCAATCTCATCCCTCATTGTTTCAAGTCGATCATTGAGTTCCTGCGCTTTCACTCGCCCTAGCTTCATGCGAGATTCCAAAGCTTCTATTCTATTGAACTGCGGCTGGAACTCTTTGAGCTCTCCGATCTGTTTCCGGATTTCCTGGTCCAGACTCGATGTTTCTCGCTCAAAGTCGGCAAAGAGACTTGATGTAGAGCTTAATAGCTCCTGGAAGGATGACAGTGTCGCATTCAAAGCTGCCACCTTCTCCAGAAGGTTATAGTATGTATAATCCAACCTGCGTGTAATGTCTGTAGCAAGTGTTCCGATGAGCGACAAAGCGGACCTTAGATACCTAGCATGCCGTCAGTCATTTCGGGCCCCCTTAATTAGACAGTGTTGCTCACTCACTCCTCCCCGTATTTCCGTCTACTTCTCACTTGCTCCAGATCTCCCATCAACTGAATTTCTTGACGTGCGATCGGACCAAGCTTAGTGTTTGTATCCAGTCCCTCGAGCAAGCTCCCCCTTCGGCTTCCGTCATTCAAGCCTGTGGTGGACTCTGACCGCCAACGCGACCGTATCGTTTGATGCGTGATCGGTCGGAGGAGACCAGTCTCCCCATCGTTCTCCTTGTCTTTCATAACGGGCCACGTCGGCAGCAGACCTCTGGCGGTAGTCGATGTCACAAGTTGACTCTTTTTCCGGGGTAAGCGACTATCGATGGATTTGCTATGCTTGTGTTTGTGCCTATGGCGTGATTTGGACAGAACTCGGTCTAAGCTAGGAACCTCTATGGCCAGATGACGGTGCTGGTGTTTCTCCTCGCACGGACAGGTGATATTGGTAGGTTGTAGAGCGTCTACACAACCATGACTGCTAGTTATATTCAGTATCTGAACATCGCCTAAGTCGTCCGTGCTGAGTATCTGGTTGTGCAATGATGTATGAAGAGGTTTCCGGTTTCCGGCGGTACCAGAGCCATGGCTGGTGGGTGGAAGAGAAACGGAGAGCTCGAGAGTCGGGGGAGTCACCTTATCGGGTGAAGGCGACCCGACCCCATGGAGACCTCCATTTTGGCCAAGGAAGGGTGCCTCTAGTCCGTGAACTTGAACATATGATAAGCTACGGAAGACTGAAAAAGCATTTGTATGCTTATCGTCTGCGGAAAGTCATCCTCGTGGACAGGCGAGCTCAACGTTAGGCGCCAAGGTTTGGCTGGTCTATTGACCCTTGGATTTTACAATACGATCGGCATGTCTCGAAACGTCCGACTCCGCTTCCGACCCCATCTGGCTTGATGACTATTTGACAGCCTTGGGATTTGAATGTGTTTGTGTATAACCATCTCATGCTTCCGTATGAGTACAGTCAAAAGTAGAAGATCAATCGTCAGAAACTCCAACGCCTATAGCGCCATGATCCATTTTTGTCCCAATAGAAGATGAAAGATGTGAAAAGAGGCTGCCTGTCGCCAAGAATTTTCACAGGCATGACGCAGACAAGAGGGAGAAATTTCCAGGAGGGAAATAATGGCAGAAAAGAAATTTCCGACATTTGGATGTTGGCCGTCATGCATCCAGCGCAGCAAACAACAGCAAGAAATACCTCAACCATAAGGTAACAGCTTGTGCTGGACCATCGGAATTTAATCAAGCTTTAGGCACCTTTCAAGAATTCAGCAACTTGTTGCGCTTTTCACGGCGCTTCAGGCGCTCGACCCGTTTACGATGCATCTTTTCTGCCATCTTTTCGTAGCGTTCTGTCTCTTCCTTGGCAGCTCTGCGATCCTTAATTCGCTGGATATGGGCCTGGTTGTGTTGTCAGTCCACCTGCGCTACCTAGGCGTAGGGTGAGAGGTAAGTCTGCCCTACCTTCCGTTCTGCCTCCTTCTCTTCCTTGAGTTCCCTCTCATGCTCTTTGACGGCCTCTTGGTGTTTGCGGGTCTCCAGGCGCTTCGCATAGGAGGTCATGCCCGCCGTAGGGCGAAAGGGCTTTTTGGAGTCGTGCCAGTTTTTACCTGCGGGCCCGAGAAGAAAGACTCATTAGCTCCAGTCATTTTTCAATGGGTGGGAAGGGAGAAATGAACACGCGAAAAGAAAAAAGGGAAAAGGAAAAAACAAGTAAAAAGTGGGGAAGCCAAATTAATACCATTCTTCCGCATGCCCTTGACGGACGGAGATACTGAAGCCGAGGACGATGACATGGTCAGACCAGACGGGGTTGATGATAAGGGAAGACGGCGGATGTCCCCAAGGCGAGGTTGACACGGATGAGGGGAAGGAGGACGATTTTGTAGTATCAGCTGGGCAGTTCTCCGCTGCCTTTCCCTCTTTTTCCTGCGGCTTTTCGATTTTTGAGGAAAAAGTTATCTTAGACCGATCAGATAACCGGATCTCGGTAGAAGTAAGCATCCGAATCCACGACTAGCACTCCTGGCTCCGAAATTGAGGGATTTGTCCCACCGCGTCTCCTACGAATCACTTGGCTGGCAAGCTAACTGAGGCGTCGCAACCAACCGTCTCCCTCTTCGCCCCCCCCACTATACGTGATCTTTCGGCCCTTGGGCTCATTCTCACCCAGCTTTCCAAGCGATGCTCGCTGTTTTCTGAATTTATCGTGCATGGTTCGGGCATCCTACGGACACCAACCCCTCCCTGACACACCGCCCCTCTTCGGACCAGGTCCTTTTCTTAAATACTCGCTTGGCCCTCCAGACCGAACCACCTTCGATTCCTATCATGTTCTCACAATAGCTTAAGAGCCAGTCCTATTTCGCCGTCCATCTCCTCTCACCTCCCCTCCAGACTTTGACTACCCTTTCCCTTATGGCGGTTGCGGAAAATGGGATAGCACTGAAGAATGAGATGTCGGTGGAACTCCCTATACTCCCGCCCAACCAGGGCTTTGAAGCTTTCAAAGATATTCTGTACGGATCTGTGAGTTGCCCCGCCGTATCGCTTAGTGCTATTATGTGCATTACTGACACTCCTGTCAGACTGCCGGAATGGTAGGGAAAGTGATTGAATACCCTTTCGATACCGTCAAAGTTCGACTTCAGTCACAGCCAGATCATCTTCCTCTCAAATACACCGGACCCTTAGATTGCTTCCGCCAGTCATTCCATACCGATGGCGTGCGCGGGCTCTATCGAGGGATCAGCGCCCCTATGGTAGGAGCTGCTGTAGAGAACAGTTGCCTTTTCTTCAGCTACCGCATTGTCCAGGACATACTGCGCGCCACTTTCTATTCACCAGCGGATGTCCTACCATTTCCGGCATTGGTACTTTGCGGTGCTGCGTCCGGGTCCATCACCTCACTTGCACTTACCCCGGTGGAGCTGATCAAATGCAAAATGCAAGTACCTCTTGCGGGCTCGGGTGCTAAGGCGCCGGGACCTCTGGCTCTTATTGTATCCGTCTTCCGCCACGATGGTATTATGGGCTTCTGGCGGGGACAAATGGGGACATTTATACGCGAGACCGGCGGTGGCGCCGCCTGGTTTGGCAGCTATGAAGGAGTCATGGCACTCTTCCGCTCTGCCCGCACAAATTCACATTGCACTGATGATGCTGCACTTGAGTCTCATCGCGTTCCCATACCCCAGCAGATGCTCGCTGGAGCAGCAGCCGGTGTTAGTTATAATTTCTTGTTCTATCCTGCCGATACGATCAAGTCACGCATGCAAACTGAGGATGTCACGCTCTCGACGCATAATGGTGAACGGCAGACCTTCGGGGGGGTAGCCCGAGCTTTATGGAGACAACAAGGAGTAAAGGGCTTATATCGAGGTTGCGGTATCACTTGCGCCCGGTCAGCCCCTAGCTCAGCCTTTATTTTCACGATATATGAAGGTTTACGAAGCCATTTTGGTTGAGTGTGTCATTGCCTTGTGATAATCCTGTCCTCATGCCTTCCTTTTCCCTCTTGCAACATTTTTGAGGTTCCTTTCTGACATTGTTTGTATGATACCTATATCCATGTTTTAGATTTAGATTTCGTGTTCTCACCCTCTTTTCTTCCTTTTCGCTTCCTGTTTTTCTCTTCCTTTTTCTTCTCTTTTTTCCTTGTTTTTCCTTCTCTCATTTTCTTCACTCCAATCTTCAGTTTAATCCATAGAACTCAATCTGATATTGACAGAGCAATACAAAAGATCGCCTCATCGGGAACATTTCTTCTCTCTTTCATATAAAATCACTATTGCGATAAGAGCTGGTGAGATTATTCCAATGCCATAGAACATTCATCGCTCGGCGATTGACGGATACCTCTGGAATTGGGTTAGAGGTAATCAATGCACAGTACTGTAACAATTCGACGAGAATGGGTGTTGGGGCTTTCAGCACTACCTAGACTCTGCAGCTTTCGAAGGGAAATGTGTAGTGTCTGTTAATGGTGGGGTGATGGGAGAGGTTGATCCTCGCACTCGATAGTGCGAATTTTCGGGCGCGTGATAAGCAAGAGAGCAGCAAGACATGAACTTCGGCCCCGCCCGCATCCATCATCATTATCTTTCTCCGAACCTCGTTCAACGCAAAAAAAAAGGGACCCGGAGTTATCGCTCGACATACAATCGTCTACCTACGCAGACACGGGAAATACCATGGCATCGTCTGCGGATCATCTTTCGGCCCAGGAGCTGGAGACTCTCTCTACTAAAGCCATTGCTGCCAAGGAGGTTGCATACTGTAAGTCCGGCATATGCTTGGTCTTCACCCCGTCAACATCCTTTGTCAATACTCCAAGAGATGCGCCTCTGAGTTTATGCTTTCATATGAGCTCTCTGCTTTCGATTTCTGACAGTTCTACTAGGCCCTTATTCAAAATTTCGTGTTGGAGCCTGTGTCCTCACGCAAACAGGCGAGTACTTCCATGGTGCCAACGTAGAAAACGCAGCCTATCCTGTTGGGACCTGCGCAGAACGGGTTGCATTGGGAACTGCTGTTGTGAGTCGCCTCTCTTCTTCTTGAATGATTTGCTCGTGTTGCTTCGCGTTGCTGCGAGTTGCTCCGAGCTCCGAATTGGCCCAACAAATCACTGTTAGTTCAGGCCGGCCAGGTCAAATTCGCCCTCATCCTGTTGGTGTGATTTGTTGCTACAGGATGCTTTTGTTGTCTTGTTTATTCTGAAGACATGGCTCACGTATTCGGACTGATCTGCAGGTTGCTGGTCATCGAGACTTCAAAGCTATTGCTGTCGCAACGGATATTGAGCCAGCAGCATCACCCTGCGGCATGTGCAGGCAGTTGTAAGTTCTCTCTATACTGTGATTGCCCGGTCTCTTCTTTTCCATACCATACTGGTGGACAACAGCGATCTTTTGTCACCTATTGGCATTGCACTGCTTCATTGCCACAGCCGCTAATAATCGCACGATAGCATACGTGAATTTAGCACCTCATCATTTCCCATCTTTATGTATGATGGGCAAGGTAACTTTACCTTGAAGACTATTGGAGAGGTACCTACCGCGCATCCGTATTTTGTTTATCCCGACACTACCCTTTACACGATCAATCATTCACTTGACTTCATTTCTCTTTCAAATGTGCCTCAACAATTTTACTAATTTACGTTTGCCCTGCAGCTTCTGCCAGACTCCTTCGGTCCGGATGATCTGCCTGGCGCGAAGGCACAATCATAGGCACCTGCGCTCTTTCGTGGTCTTGTCGTATCTGGGTCATTCGGGTTATGATGGGATTATCGCGTCGCCTGTGTATGGAAACACGCGGTGCTTCTCTCTGATTCGATCTTCATGTTGTCGTATGGTTGCAGGTGACAGCAGTCCACTCAGTCTAGGACTTTGTAAAACGAGAGCTTTCTCTTTAGTGCTCGTTAGGTTACTTTGTTGGCAATCATCAGCCACGATACCTTTCCTTCCTCAAATCTGTAGACTCTCACACTTTAGATTCGTTCTCCTGGTATGATTCTCTTCTAACGAGTACTACTGGGCCTCAATTCCTTATACTCGCAGTATGACGAAACTTGATGAGTAGTACATATGGAAAGACCATTTTTTGTGTTGATTGCGGCCGAGGGGCCTGTTGTACCGGACAATCCTCCTTCCAAAGATATGAGACGGGGCTAAACAGAAAATCTATCATTCTATGAGTGAATAGACAAGCAAAAATAGCTGAGCCAATCGAGCTTGAGTGATAAGTTCATTAAAGTCGAGTCTCCCTACAGAGAACCTTCGTATGATGACATAAATCATTGGCAAGACGTCAAGAATTTCCGGGGGGGCGGCAGTGGGGACGGAAAGGAAAAAGCAAAAATGAATCTTTTGTCACTAAAGCTCATCTTCCTCGTCAATGTCGGCTTCTTCGACCCCTAGAAGCTCATCTTCATCGTCGACAACGCTAGCGTAATCGCCGCGTCGGGCTGCAAAAGCACCCCGAGACGCGTAGGGCCGTGTGTAGCCTCCACTGCGCCTGAAACGCAAATAGCCGCTAGCACTCCGCCATAGGCTGGTGGCCAAAAGCGGCAAGGCTTTGGCAATAGCCACCGCGCCCGCGATTACGGTGACGGAAACAGTGATGAACAGCGAATCTCGCGATAACAAACCAGAAGAAGTGCCGACATTTTCTCCAAGGCGAATCTGGCCAAATTTACCATCCCATCTGGTAAAGACGTAGTATCCAACAGCGCCGGCCACAGCAATCGGTGTCACAATCGCAAAGAAAAGTCCAACACCGCCGATACCGTGTCGCTGTTGATATTCCTCCTCCTTGTTTGGGCAGGGCTTCGAAACCTGATGGTCCAATTCTAAGCCTCCCTCACAAGTCGTTTGGGGCAGACGTCGGTATCCTGTAGGTTCCCAATATTCAACTCGATCGGGATTTGCCTTACAAATAGCCATCGCATCTGGTGGAGATAATCCAGCGACAAGCCCACAGCTTCCATCACTCAGAGGTTCGTAGTTATATCCACTGTCCAATATTAGCGACACGTGTCTTGCTTCTGGATCTGAACAGTTTTCAGCGGATCAATAGAGGGGACATACCATTCAAAGTCGGATCTGGTACAACTGCAATTCTTCCCTATGCTGTGTATATGGGGTTCGCGCCAGTCATTCCAACACTGAGAAGCCGGTTTCTTGCGATGATACTGTTCAACATGGCCAAAGAGACAGTTGTTGTCCTCGAAAGGGTGTCTTGGTTCCCAGATGTAATAATCGTCCCTAGCACCGTTATCCTCGTTCAACTTGCATGAGGCGGCCCAGAGTTTGCTAAAATCAACATTGACAATGGCAAGCTTATCTTTGTTTTCCGACTCGAGGTCTTTGCCCCAAAGAAGGAAATTCTTCGAGGTATCAGATGGTACAGTCGATATGTCCTCAATTTGCATGGAGACGTCCGAAAACTGGTATTCTTCCCAACTATCACCCCCGTCCGTACTGTAATAGAGAACTTTTGTCGGTTTTGACTCTTGCACGATCACGATCACAGAGCCAGAGTCACCAAATTCCCATAAGTATCTACCTTGCTTCACGAATTTCCAGGTGAAACCAGCGTCTTGTGATATGAATGTATCCGGCTCCGCATCGCTGACCAAGTGGTCGCCCACATTACCTACACCAACTATCAGGCCAATTGCTGAGCCGGAAGAATATGTGTCTCTTTCATCCCTGCGCTCTGTATATCCATGGAGGTGTAGTGAGCAACTCGGAACCCCTTTCCCTTCTTCCACAGAACAGCTAAATTTTTTGCCATCCGCGTCTTTTGGGGGGGGAAGTAACATCCAACGGCCTCCGTCATTATGGGTGATCATGGTTCTCAGCTTCTTTGGTTCGCCGGAGGCAAGCCTGTCCACATTGCTGACAACGTTCGCGATAGCCACGCCATCCAGTCCTTGAATTTTCTCAAAGTCGACATAACCGCGACGGTCCCGACTCACTGCGCCGAGGCTAAGGACGTACGATGTCCCGTTGCTATTGCTCTTTATGATAGAGCCATACTCAGCTCCTTCGGCATTGCTGACAGTAACGTGGAGGAAAACGGCATGCGTAGAGCTTTCGAGAACGGTATAGGCTGTCTGAACAGGTACATCAAGATTCGGAGGAAAGTGCGCCTCCGCAAAAGTACGACCATCAACACTGCTGCTTGCGACCAGCGATTCTGGCTTTTTAGGGTTACGAGAGGCTACCACGATGAACTCGAACATCGTAGCATAATCGATAACATCTTTAAAATGGACATGCCGATCAGCGAACTCATTTTCGCTTGACAGGAGTTGCAATCGATTGTTTCGGTTTTCACTTTCAAACTGCTCACAGAATATCAACTTGTTGCTGTCGGGACGAGTCTCTCGACTCTCAAATTCGCATTTCCGAACATAACGCAGGAGAAGCTTCCAGTTCTCGCCACGATTTTGGCTGATGTGAGCATTGGAATGGCAGTCGCCAGACCCACAATCCACAGCGCCTGTCCAGATGAGCCAGTCTTTATACCGGGGATGAAAAGATAGCGTCGGGACACGCTCGTGTGTCGGTGGAATAGGCGCCTCGAAGCGTTTGAATGTCTGGGCACGATCGACCGTCCAGAATGCCTCCTTCCCGTCTGTTAGAAAAAAAGCTGTGTCGCTACTATACGGATGAAGTGCAATTCTGGTGACTTTCTTCCCTTGCAACGATTGCTGCCAGGTCTTGCCATGGTCATGTGAGACATAAAGATTGTGTGAACTCGTGAGCATGATAATGGTCTCGTCGGTTCCTGAGCTGCTGGACTGCCGTTCCAAGTAATAATATGCGCTGAATTGCTTCGCATCAAAGAATTGTTTAGTATGACTGAGTTTGTCATTGCCATCATGGGGAAAGGTCCCCACGTCCTTACATGACTGCTCAATCTTATCATCCATATTCTTGCCGCCTTCGCGAATGCAGGTATTTCCCGGTATCATTCTCCAGCCTGACGGGGCCATGAACTTATCGTCAGGATTTTTGCATTTACCCTCTGGCGGTATTGGAATCTCAGCAGGCCTACAGCTTTTCCCATCTTCGCTGCGCTGTTCACACTCGAAATCTTCGACCGAGCATTTGCATGATTCTAGAATTGGCTGCGGATCCTTGAATTCCTCATCCACAAAGCAGTTCGCATTGGCCTTCCGGCGCCGATAGAATTGTTTGTGACCCATCAAGCAGTCAGGTTCACCGATCTCATTCAATCTGGCCGGCCACCTTTCAAAGTCATCCTGGCCACATTTTCTTTCGTGGAGGCCTTTGAAGTCAATCGAATACACGATATAGTCTTTTTCACCGTTCTCTTGCCCAACGAGAATAAACTTTAGACTGGTAGAGTCGGGGGTCGTTGTGACCATAGTGGGGTACATTGCGTGTTCCAAATCGACTGTATCCCACTCCTTGCCATGATCAAGGGAGTAACTGACCTTCTTCGCCTTCCCGGCATCACTGACCGCCATCAAGACAGCACCTTGGTCGCCGATTTCGTATTTATAAGGCCCATCAAGAGCATGGCGCCATGTCACTCCTGCATCGTCTGAAACAAATAAGTTGCCGTCATTGTATCTCTTCAGGTTGTCACCTGTGTTGCCGACACCCATGATTACTCCCGGTGCGGGACTTGAAAACACGCGGCCGATGTTCGCAAAAGTAGTCACTGAGTGTAGATGTAGATTTTTGTCGCCCACCTTGAGTGCTTGAAAGGTTCTTCCATCATCGAAGCTTATTTGACTCACGATCTTCTTTTCAGAGCCAGACTCTACCTTCTCAGGATTCTTGACCGTATTAACCAGTACTATACCCTGAATTCCAGCCACCTTTTCGAAATCCACAATACCAGCTTCGTTGCGATTGGTGTGCTCGATATTGCGGGTGAAGAAGGTACCATTTGAGTTTGATGTAAACAGCACACCCATACCACTAAACGGGCTGGTTAGAACATCTACCTGCAGGCTGTAGTTGGTGCTTTCCAGCATTGTATAGGCGTCCTGTTCTATCCTGTGGCCACCGAACTCTGCCCGAGTCCAAGTATTCGTGTCAGTGCTCACATATAAAGCAAGCTCGTCAGTTCCCTTGGACTTAACGGCAGCAACAATAAACTTCTTGATACCGGCTGTGCTGATGACTCCAGAGATTGGCCGATTTGCTTGTAACTTCACTTCTATGCCATCAGTACTACTGCTGAAGTAGTCATCAGAGTATACTAGGCGATTGGCATGACCAAGTGGCACCTTCAAGCCCGGGACAACACACAACGTCCTGTCACTGAGCTGATCGACAGATGGAAAATCCTCCGCGAAATCTGGGTGTCCAAGTGCCCACGAACATCCTGCAGCGCTCTCGCGCAGCAGCTTGACCGTTTGAAAGTCGTCCGTCGTATAATACGACCTCACAATGCAAAAAAATCCGGCACATTCTTCGCTCTGAAAAATCACTTTTCTGGAGTCCCAACCATGGAAGACAAGTGGCGTATGTTGTTGTAATGCTGGAAATTCATCAATCGTGAAAGCACTCCAGGTTTTGCCCTGATCCTTTGTCATCATATGACGGCCATTGTTACCCAAGGCATATGCTCTATACTTGTCAAACGGGTGCTGCTGAGCCCAAAGCACCTGCTCTTTCATAATCCCGTTTTCTCCCTCAACAGCTTCCCATTTTTGACCTCCATCGAATGACTGGAAAAGATCTCCGTTCTCCAGGCTCATCAGGACCGTCTCCGTATCATCGAAGTAGAAGAGAGATACCGGACCATGCTCAAATTTGGTCGTAGTAATTTTCGGTTCGCCTGACGATTTCGCTATGCTGGGCCGTAGCATAAGTGCCAGCGTCAGGTAGCCCACTAGCAAGAGCCATCGAGACGTCATGGCCACAACCTTTATAACATTTGCAACGAGACGGCGAACAAGGGCGGGTTTCTCGAGTAGATGCCGCACTGAACAAAGTCGAGTGTGCGGAGGATGGACACCAAAAGCAAGTTTGTGGTTCTTAACTGGAATTTATTTGATAACGTATCCCAGGAGCATAGGATAGAAAGGGACGATGTGATAGATTCAGAGTCGGCATTGCTGTCGCCGCGTGGCCCCAGAGAAGCTCCTTGATCACGTGCTTGCCCGTACTGCTTATCGAAGCACCGATGACCTCACATCAGGCAGCGGTAAGAGATAAGCTTCAGCGCAGACTCGGAGCCTTCTTGAACTTCTAATTATTATTTATATGATGGGTGGAATTCTAGTTTCGAGTTTAATTACTTGAAGAGAACATATTATTTATAAGTTGGTCCAAAAAACCATATGCGTGAAAGGTTACTTAAGCAGCTAGAAAATGTACGATCTGATTGAGACCAGCGGCGTCCGCGCGCCCACAGAACTTATCTTGTTCCAGAAATACAACACATAAAACATCAGGGCCTTTGAAAGACAAATTCAAGAACTTCGGTTGACTCGAATTGGAAATCAATTCTGCAATTTTAAATCGCGTACTGACACAGCATCGTGGCCTTCATGCTATTAAGCAGTTAGTTGTCCAGATTAGAGATTATTAAGCACAAGTTGCAAGGCGGCCGTGTTGGAATCCTCCCTTCTAGAGATATAAGCCCTGACTTCCTGCACACCAAGACCTGTGTCCGCTTTAATGGTGCTTCCAATGCCGCGTCCTGGATTTGTACCAGCAATGCTGTTCCCAGTACTTCTGCCGGCGACGCTGACCGCGTTCCCGCGTATTCGTTCTTGCAAAGCTTCAGACCCAACCACGAAAAGGCTTCCGACTTCTAAAAGAACATCCAGCGCAGCACTGGGTCCCTTTATGTGCTCTTCGATGTCCCAGCTTTTCAAGATATTGGCATACTGTGTCAAATCCTTGGTTACAATGAGACCACCCGGTCCATTCACCACAAACCGTTTGTAGTGTTCCAGGAGAAGATTCCGTGTTCCAAGAGCAATCTCGGTAAGCACCTGGCGAAGATTGGAGCCACTCGGTGGTAGCAGACTTTTGAGAGTGTCATGCGCACGAGCTAAGAAGTTGCAAATTGATGCACACGTCTAAAGATGATTAGTATACGTCGTGGTAGCATCTCCGAAGCAACGGAATTGTAGAAAAGGCACAGCATAATGACTGACCGGTGTTTGTAGCCTTTCCAGCCAAGTTGCATTGTCGCCCTCCTTCGGTCGGAAGTCATTTTTCTTTTGACCAGACAGAATTTTATTAACCCAGGCTAAAGTCGCATCAATGATCTTTTGCTCTATTAGATTTATCTTCTCCTCAATCCGGATAATGATCAGATTTGTCTTTTTCTCCATTTCCCGACGAACGGTGATGCTGCCTGCGGCAAGAGGGATAAGTAAAGTGTTGATGCACATGACCATCAGATTGGCGATACCGATGGCGTTCCGAATAGCTTGTATATACCCGAAATCAGGCTCTGCTTTGCCTGACTCCTGAGACGTTGCTGTATCAAGGGCAGCATCTAGACAAACTTCAATATAGCCATCTCCCATCATCGACAGAAGAAGGCTTACAAGCGCAAGCATATCCTTTGGCGTTTCGCTGGTCATGCTAAGCTCTAACCCTCTACCGACTGCTTCGGCAAGCCATTTAAGCATTCGCTTTGCATGGGCAATGCTGGGGAGACCGTCGTCTTCTGTAAGCTTGATATCTGCGGGTTTTGTGGGATCACTGGCCTCCCTCAACCCTGCCAATTGGAGCAGCAGCCTCTTCTGCGTTGAGGGAGGTTCGGAAGACTCAAGGCGTGCAATATATGCATCTCTTGCAGAAAGAACCTCCGTGCCTGACTTTGAAAGAGATGCCATGAAAGTTGTCGCCGCTCTCTTCCGGCGAGCATGGAAAGTTGTAAACCTGAATTGCAAAGAGGTATATAGTTCTTCCAGATTTCTCTTTTCTCTTTCTATGTAAGACGACCCTACGAAATAGGGCACAAACAAATCCTCCAATTGCTGATCGAGAACGAGAGCTGTCTGTGACGAGATGGGGTCGGGATGTTCTGTCAATCCATGCGCTTTCAAGTCATCAACCAAAGCGCTGATATAACTGCGAGAACTTTGCAGGGATCGCAAAAAAGCCAATGATGAGACACTGTTCGCCTTTTCCAGAACCATTTCGAGCCTTTGTTGGATAGACTGCTGGAAAACGCGCTGCAAAAACTTCCCTAATACTTGCTCGTAGTAAGGGAAAGCCCTTTTGATGATTGCAGACTCTTCTTGCACCACGACCTTCACTTCATCAATGAGTGATTGAAGACTAGGTTCCACTTTTGAAGGTTCGGCATCGGGATCTGCAAGCTTCTCCCAGGCTTCTGGGTCTCCTCCGACCTCTTCTGTCACCAGCTGGCTGCGATCAATAAAGAATTGATGTTGGTTCACGAACAAGGCGATCACGCTTGCACCACCGTTAAAATCCTGAAGTACTGTTGCGCAATCCTTCATGCCTTCGAAATTGGCTTTCCGGTAAAAATCGTCAAACTGCTTCAGTAGGTCGTTCTCGAGCGTTTCGGAAAATTTCTCGATAATTTCTCGCGTGTTCTGGCGAATACCACTGCCCCTTATGTTCGCAGATTCATCTCCACCAGTTCCAGTCGCGTAGGGCCCATCATGTCTTCGGGCTGCTTCGCCCCAACTTTCAGCGTCAAGCCGCTGGCTAATCCTGAGCAACTGACGAGCAATCTGTGCCGATCGCACTTTGGCCTCACCTGTTCCCGACCTTCGCAAATTCTCCAAGAGCGTCAAATCCCCTCTATTACTCACGCCATCCCAGCATTCGAGTAGAAAGTGTGCGTCAAGCGCCCGGCGCCTTTGTCGATCTAATTCCTCGAGTCTGCGCCCCGTCTCAACAGCCATATTTCCTGTCGATTCGGAAAGCGCTCCTCCAGACAACCCTGCTCCATTGAGCGAGGTATCGAGTTGCTGGAAGGCCTCGATAGTCTGGGTCAATTTCCGTCCTAGAGTGTTCAGGTTCTGAGTGTGCTGTGCCTCTGCCCTGCGGACTGCAGCAGATAATTCATTTTCTCTTATCTCAAGATCACCCGAAATGTCGCCCAGTCGCCGCTGCGCGTGCTCAAAGGTCCGGATCAGCGGTTTGGGGTCGAACGGCTGATTTCCACCTACAGGTACTCCTGTAGAATGCCGATTCGTAGCTGTGGTTTCGGAGAGAGCTTCAATGAACTCCTTCACGATGAAGTCACGGCTGGAGAAGTCTTCAAGTGTGAAGCTGGGGCCCTGGGGGAATACCGGACGGGACGCAGCATTGGGATGGGGACTTGTGGACGCGTCGTCCGGCATTTTCTGGGTGGTCGCTGAAGGTCTTCCGCATTGACTTTAGCTTATGGTTGTAATGGGTATGCCCATAACATAATTCGAAGCTGTCCAGGGGTAGGTAATTTGGCTTTGCGACCTGGGTGCAGCCACGGGAGATGTGCGGAGTACGGAAGAGATAAGGTGGTTTGATTCCCGGAAATTGTGATGGATGACAACCAATCTCTCTCCGCAGACGATCACATAAATTATCGGGGAAGACAGAGAAAACCTACTTACCGCGAAGATGATCTTGTTCAATTCTATTGTCCCGAGGCAATTAAATAGCTTATGTATTCAGCCTTTTGCTGCGCTTCGTAATGAGGCTATGTGTCACGGTTCCGCAACGCTTCAATACGGTATGGTGTATGACTACTGGCATCTTTAAAAAGACGCCATGAGCATTTGGGGTAGCTCACCATTAGCAACCAGCCGGGCCCTCTTTTTCTTGACCTCTTACCACTCACCAAAAGTTTCATGTACCTCTACACCTGAGCAAATATGGTCTCACAACATGACAGAGAGCTGTTTCGCAACGATATACGCTCTCGAGGGACGAAACTCAGTGCTGCTGACCGCGAAAGCATCTTGAGGCCATATCTTCCAGACCCCTCTGACCTCCAACGGCGGCCTACTCAACGGCACAAAAAAGCTCACCGCAAGGCTCCTGTACGGACTTTCTTAAAGACACAAATCCACCATATCGTCTACACCTTTGTTCACATCTTCTTTGGAATCATCACTCGGCTGATCCAAAGCTATCAAGCCGTTGTGCACCGGATATGTGCGATCATATATTACCACCACCGAACACCTGAATTAATCCGGAAGGATGTCAAAGGTCTTAAACGATTACCGGAGCACTTGAGTGTCATTCTTTCAATTCGTAAGGAAGATGACGCCCTCGCTGTTTTGATGGACGAAGTTGCGGAACTTGCAGCCTGGAGTGTCAGCTCAGGAATACCAGTGCTGAGTGTGTATGAAAGGAGCGGTAAGTGGGAGCTCAGCCTTTTGACGTCCCTCATTGAAACATGTCACAGTTGCATGAAGCTAACCGATTGGGCCAACATAGGGGTTCTGAAATCCTGCATTCCTATCCTTCACCAAGCTATCACGAACAAAATGTGTTCCTATTATGGCTCTCCTATTCAACAACCGAGGTTGCGACTATTCGCACCCCATCACCCTGTCTATGACCAACCACAACAAGGCGGTTGTATGGTTCGCAACAATAATGAGTCCTTAACAGTGCTTTTGCTCTCTGCCACTGATGGCAGGGAAACATTTGTTGACCTGACTAAAACTTTGGCGGAGATGTCCCAGAGCGGGAAACTCTTGCCTGAAGATATCACCATGGAACTGGTCGATGCAGAAATTAGCGAGATCACTACTCAGCCGACTCGACCAAGCTCGCCAACTTCGGATGAGAATAAAAGGATTTCTGATCAAATAAAGCTTGTTGCAAAGCCTGAGCCCGACCTTCTCTTGGTGTTTGGTCCTTTCCTGAGGCTCGATGGCTACCCCCCCTGGCACATTCGATTGACCGAAATGTTTTGCACTGGTGGTAGAAGCAGCGGAACAAACACTTCTGAAGCAGTTGAATATCACGGCTTCCTACGGGGACTTTGGCACTATGCTGGTGCTCAGATGAGGTTTGGCCGTTGAATATGACAATCCGACGAACTCTTCCATGTACCAGTACATGGTTTAAGTAAATTTACCAACATACTTCATTGCCCCATTCACTCCTTGCTGAAGGAGCAATGTACCATTGATTGTATTTTGCCCTCGATGGGAAATGTGAACAATCACCAATGATGAAAATCAACTCGCATTCGAGGCATATACAAGAAACAGAAGCGATATTGGGAACAAAACGCATGCTTGCTATCCTCATTTATGGTTCAAAGCAGTTGCGCATCAAATTCTCGTATGGGAAATGTATTCTTTCTTTGAAGCTAGTCATAATCTCTGTTTTGACACTAGTGTAGATTGATTCCGAACTTCCTTTTCATTCCTGGAGTATATCCCCCTGTCGCGTTATCTGAACAGAGACCTTTCTTTCTTTCCATAATATCTCGGTTGGCTTCGAACAGTGTTCCGTCGCTCACTTGAAAAGGCTTGTGGTAAGATGCAACCTTGTTTTCTTTGATGATCTGGAGTAACATCAACTACAAACTAGGGCCATTGTGAGCGTCCCTGATATTTGAGATGATTTGACAGGGCCCAATTAGAGCAGGACCCTGGTGAAGATTCTTGGTGCCTGCTTGATTATGGGGTTCGCTTGGACATTCAAGTGACCCTCGATTTGCTCCCTTAGATGGTGCTTGCGTTAATCCATGTTGTTCTCTTATGGTGCTGGGGATTCTTTAACAACATGATTTGTCCTTGAAATATGTGCATCCGGGGTCTACCTTTGGAGACTGGGTATTGTCGCCAATTGCCTTGTTCCGAAGAACCTATTCCTGGCCTGCAATCTCCCATGGTCTACTTCCGTGGGAGCACACCCTAGCGGCCGCCTGATTCAAGATGGTGACTTTCAAGATGTTCGCGTCGTAGCCTAGAATGGAAGGATAGGTTGCCGTCAAGTCGTAGTTTTGGCCACACAGTCAAGGCACCTTGAAACTACAACACCCATTTCGTCCAGATCCTCAACTGCACAGGATGAGCATACTCTTCGCGATATAGCGTGTTTCCCTTTAGCGGCGGTATCTTCATACATATAGCCTGAAGGCTTCTTAGCGATGCGAGTCAACCCACTGCAATCAACAGCATCGCATGAACGGAGACAGATGTAACAACTTCTCTGTCCACATATTTCACAGTCAGAATAAGCATCTAGAGTCTCCCTCGTTGTCGGTCGCCTGTGACAGACGTGGCAGGGGAGTAAGCAGAATGTTGATGGCTGGCAATCATTCGGGGAGAGAGTTCGGGGAGATGGTGAAGAGTAGAAACTGGAGGTTGCAAATGTCAACGAATTCGTCGGTGCGAGTTGTTTATGGAGTCGCGGTCTCTTCGAGAAGCTCCTTTGGCGAATATCTCTTTCGTGAGGATTTCCTGTAACATCTGAGTAGTCGATGGCATTAGTTTGGGAGCTCGGCCTAAGAACAGGTGGCGGCTGGATTCTTTTGCTGCAGATTAGGATAGCGAATTAGCTTTTCCTCCTTGCCAAATCCTCAATTCCATGCGCAAATTCTACCTTGTATGTATGGGAACCTCAGACCCTGCCAATCCATTATCGCATCTTCTTTTCATGAAAATCGGTCTTGTGGCGGGAAAGTTGCCGGGCTCGATTGGGATGTGTGGCATGGTAATTTCACTCGAATAGCACCAAGTCCGGATGTAAGCTTCCAGGAGGAATATGTACTGTACAGTAAGTACTTGAGTAAAAAGAAACACGAGCCGTTGAAGCGAAACACTAGTGGGGGTCGCGAGGAGCAATAATAATAATGGCTGCTCTGCCAATGGAAGAATCAGAGAAGCAAATAATCCTCCTTTAGTCTAGACCCACTTCACTAGTTGACTATCCATATTGCAGAGTCAACAACGGCAGAATCAGATAAATCGATGCATGTACTTGTAGTAGTACGAGTAGATAAGCAGGCATTCTTAGGGGTAACTGGATCAATCCGCCTCCAGTCGAGTCCGGGGTCCACCCGACCTCACCTCCTTAACTACGTAGAAGCATCCCCTAGTAAGGAGCTAGGATCCGTCCCCTGGTACAAGTACTGTACATACACATACAGCATAAATTCTCGAGGATCCTATCACTGGACCGTGGACAATTCGGATTTGACAAGAAGAGTACTATAGATTCATCTGGCTCACATTCTAGTACTCGAACCAGGCTCAATTTCCGTCTTAACGTACTGGAGCTTATGCAATCCCTATGTATATCACGTGAAATGATTACTCGGTCATGCCCGTATCTATGGATGTGGTCTTGGGGTCTAGAGGGTGGCTTTCACCGGCTGTACAGTAATTTAGGGTATGGAGTAACTAGCAGCGGCGGCTTCTTGGCAGCCCACCTCCTGATCATCTCTCCAGGTTCTCTCCTCTATCTCTTTCCCTTGTTCCCTGCTTTTTACGGCAGATAGGATGTGATCAATCAACACCGTACCATTTACTAAATCTCCCGAATGAGCATGCCGCTTAGCTTGAGCATCGATCCCACATTGTGCATGGTCAAAAAATAGAGCATCATACAGACCGGTTCTGATTGATAACTCTTTCCAAGCAAACGGCTTTCTCAAGACCATGGATAGCAGCATACCGGAACTTGTCGAAAGACTAGGAAGCGATGAAGATGGGGTACGCAAAATGGCAGTTTTCAAGCTGCAAGGCAGCATCGGTGATCCTTCGTTCGCCGATATATTCATTGCAGAAGGTGGATTGGCTAGGCTGCGTTATCTAATCTTACATGCAACTGGAAACACACTGGCCTACAGCCTGACTAGCTTTGCAAGACTCCTGGAAGTGGACAAGGGCTGGGACTTTGTAGACCAGGAAGTGGTTGAAAGGGTATGAGCACAATCATGACCTCATCTACATGTGATAAAATCGTGCTGTATCATGACTGACTGGTATTCAATGTCCCTCAGGTTGTTGAGCTCATCGTGACTCACCCCCTTGTCAACATTCTCAGAGGTGCTATGTCTATACTTGTGTCTATAGTGTCACATCCGCACACGGATGATGATGTCTCGCAGAGCAGAGGATTTGGTTTCCGTGCGCTAAAGCCTGCGATTGCCGTATATCCGCAATTCCTGGAGATGCTCGTTAGCAGATTATCCTCTGCAGATCATGCGCTTTGTGCCAATGCATTGCAACTGATCAATTCACTCATGCGTGAATCCATCACGAACGAGGCGGATCTGGAATGGCCAAGATTCATTCAAAAGTTACAGGATTTGGGCGTCATACGCGCAGTATACTCCCTGATGCGGGGAACTGCCATGCAGGACCATATTCATCCATTGATCGAGTTCCAGTATCTCACTAAAGTTCTTTTGAGGAAGTGGCGAGACATTCCCCTGGATCTAGAGCAGCCAGAACATAGAAGAGCATTAAAGGGGATCTTTTTGGCTAGCTCTTTGGAACGGAGTCATGACAAGGGTGCTGGAAGTGTTGAGGATATCCGTCGGTCCAAGCGCCATCATCCGGAAAAGTGGCGGCGACTTGGTTTCGATTCTGAGAATCCAGTGATGCAGTTTGAGTGTACAGGCTTCCTGGGACTGATGGATCTGGCGGATTATGTCAGAAACAATCAAGATGAATTTCAAAAGATTATCATGGAGCAGTCAACTAGGCCGGTCGACCAACGGTGTCCAATAGCTCGTGCTTCGTTGTCTGTTACCTCCATCCTCTATGACCATTTTGAAGTGGACAAGTCAGAGATGGAAGACGTGAAAACGTCCTTGCTAATAGATTCACGTTCGAACATTGACAGTCTATTCCAGCCTCTCCTATTACACTGGACACGGTTACATGTCGCTGGCTTACATGCGTTCTTCCGTCTGTGGAGGACCACTGGTGCCGAAATCAGAGATTATGACAAAACTGTTGAGCTCGTTCGGGTGCTCCTTGAATCAATCATCGCGAATGCGCCTCGCGCTAAGGATGTGCAAGAGGTGGAAGAAGACATAGTTAACTTCGATTACGGGCGTCTGCGAGAGTTGCAGATGGAACTGTTGGAGCTCACGTACGAAGACGTCTGGGGGGAACATCTCCGGCATATGCGCGGAGAGCTATACCACGAGGCCCTTCACTTTGTGAAGGAACAACGAATAAGATGCCTGCTTCGAGGCGATTGGTTTCCTACCGAAAACACTCCTGAATTGGAAGCAGCATCAAAAAAGACTTCCTGGAGGTTTATCCAGCTATCGCATAATCGACGGTTTCTGCACTTCGGCGACTTCGAACATAGGCAGAAAGAGAGTCCTCAACTAGACGTCCTCTCGGAGAAAAGTAAGCGTGCCATTTGTAGCACCTGTCCCTTGCTTCTGATTTGTGCTTAACTAATCACTTGCACTTTTGCCCAGTTGAACTTTCAATTGTTTCTTCCGTGGTCTCAAATGTTTCTAAGTCGTCTGATGACGCTTTCTCGCCCGTGAAGACTAAGTCTTGTCCTAATAATTCTATGAAAATAGCAATCCATGGCCACCCTGAGGCTGCCGCAAGGATGAAGGGCGCGCAGGACGCTGGCCATCATCGACAAGTCAGCAAGTCCACGCAGGGGGAATGTGTTTTACTGAACCTGCATCCACAGTCCCTTAGCGTAGCCGCAGAATGGCTTGACGGTTTACTGATGCTACTTAACCAACAACCTATTACTACGGAGACAAGTAAGCTGATAGATTTGATCAGCGACTATGGGCTCAAGATTCGCCTGTTGAACGTCCGCTTTGACGACTTAGCGTTCGTTGGACAATCCCCTACTGTCCCATCGCGTGTTGGTCTCGATAATGATTATTATTATGACGTGTTCGGGGGGTCTTGAGGATTTCAATTCATCCTTCATACGTACCCTATTGATGGATTTTGATGTTGATCCACCAACAGAGATATAATGACATCCTAGGTTTCTCTTCAGGCTTGTCTGGTCCGTGAGGGAGCAATACAGTAACCTGGCAAATACGTGGTTTCGTACATATTGCGCAGCCTAGCCCATATTTTTAGGGATTTGTTATTCCTACCCATGGCATAGATATTTCTATCTATATCAAAGCCGGATAGTTAAAGCAGTATTCTTTATCTGCCTTGGTATCCTATACTCATCTTCGTATCAACTTAGTATTTGATACACGAAAAATCCTAATATAGGCTTATTTTTTATGAGAAAAATAGATATTCTCTAATACAATACCCCAATAAATGATATCTTCAGCCTTACAACCCTCTAAGATCCCAACATAAGGGGGAAAAAAACTCCCTATTTTATATAGAAAGTATCAAGTACGAATAAATTTCTACCGCTTTACTTATTCAAGTTGAATATAAGTAGGAATAGCGAGTGGCTAACTTAATGGGCGTTACTGTTATACTTAATTTTATGTACATACTTAGTGATCCGGGCCGAATGGGTAAACAGTAAAAGCAGTCTGGAGGTTATGCGGCTCGGGACTCGGTAGAACTATTCTGCCACTGGTATCAAAGCTCCGAAGCTCTAATCCAGATCTCGAGACCGGTATAATGACGATCTCGCCCGCTCCAGTGACGACTGGTCCCCCTCTCTATCAACCGTCATGGTGCACAATTTCTTAACCCGGTCATGAATGCTGATTACAATTGGCTAACAGGCCGATTTCCAAGTTGCACCTACTTAGTATCCAACGTAGCTCGATCACCGACAACGCGAGCCTGAGGATTGGCAGAACAAACTAGTAGTAACCAGTCGGTTTCCTCGTCTGTCAAGCCCAAGGCGCACAAGTACTAGCGACGATGAAACGCAAAGCACCCTCGGACATTTCTTTAACACAACGCACTTTACTCGATCAGCGCAGTAATTCGGCATCCGACCAACCACCTTCTGTTAAAGACGACCATGCGAAAACAAGCATAGCAACAGAGACACCGGGCACATCTGACGATGTCATCGAGGATGACTACGATTCTTTCGACGAAATATTCACACAGCATTTTTCGGGCGATGGGACTAGTCTACATGATGATAGCAGAGATACGTCGAACTGTCCGGGAGACCCCCGTCTACCTCAGATGGCATTGCCCTATAGCCAGAAAAATGCTAGCACGACCAGACGCTTTGTCATACCGCCCCTCTGTGATCCTAAACCCCGGCAGTCACCTCAAATCAATACAAATGGCGAAGACTTGCCGTGGGCTCAAAGATTTGGTCCAACGAACCTCAGTGAACTAGCAGTACATAAGAGAAAAGTCTCCGACGTGAGGGATTGGTTAAATAATGCATTGGACGGGACTGGTAAAAGGGTATGTAGCTTGGCCATCTGTCAAACACTGAGTATGGACTTACAATCTATACCATCCATCACTGACAACGGTGAAAGCTACTTGTCCTCCGTGGCCCTGCTGGAAGTGGAAAGACGGCCACAGTATCTGTTTTATCGGAAACCTTGGGGTTTGATATACTTGAATGGAGAAACCCTACAGCATCTAACGCTGTCACCAATGTGCACAGTTCCATTGCCTCACAATTTGGTGATTTTTTGGAGCGCGGCAATGAGCTTCCAGGTCTCGAGCTTGACGGGCGCAGCGGCTCGTCTCAGAGTCAAAGCGCCGGCAACGAGAGCTACTCACAGCAACGGCGTATAATCGTGGTTGAAGAATTCCCATCACTAACAGCTCAGTCCTCTAGTTTGTTGGTTTTCAGACTCGCTGTTCAGCGGTATCTTGCGATAACAGCCTTAGCTCGGAATATGAGCGCACAATCTTGCTCTCCTGTTGTCATGATTATCTCAGAAACACTTCTCGACTCGGGCTCGTCTTTCCCAGATAATATCACGGCTCATAGATTGCTGGGCTCGGCAATTTGCAATCACCCAGGAACAAGCATAATCGACTTCAATAGTATAGCTCCAACTTTCATGTTCAAAGCCCTAAATTTGATCATAGAGAAGGAAGGCCGCGTTTCTCAATCGAAACGAGTTCTTTCCCCTGCGGTAATGCGCAGCCTCTCACGAAGTGGGGATATCCGGAGTGCGACTTCCACACTAGAATTTATCTGTCTGCAAGCTGGTGATCCCGCAGAGAGAACGAAATCGTCCAGATTTAAGCATTCATCCCGAGGAACTTCGATTCTTACTCCGCTAGAGGAGAAGACCTTAGGGCTGATAACCCAACGAGAGGCCAGTCTGGGATTGTTTCATGCCGTTGGGAAAGTTGTGTATAACAAGCGTGACGATCCAGGCTCCGAGGAAGACGCTCAACCTGTTAAGCCACCAAGCTACTTGCGGCAGCATGACCGGCCTAGAATATCACAGGTCCAGGTTAACGAACTGAGGAATGAGATTGGTACCGATGCACAAACTTTCATCAGTGCGTTACATGAGAACTATGTTCTCTCTTGCAATGGCGCCTCGTTCACAGAGTGCCTTGACGGTTGCACAAGTGCATTGTCAGATAGCGACTTGCTGTATCCCATCTTTAAAGGGTCAAGCAAGTTCTTTGTACATGCAACTAGTACTAGCGCTGCAGTCGAGGCTTTACGACAACAAGATATCAGCTATCAAATTGCCGCACGTGGGCTACTATTCGCTCTTCCTGATCCGGTTACAAGAACCAGCTCATTCAATGATGGTGCTGGGAGTGCAAGACATGCCCAGCAACTTCTCTACCCGGCTCTGTTGCGGTCATTCCATGATAAGGAGGAAATCGAGGGCCTCGTAACTTTGTGGACAAGCAGGCTGCTGAACTCGATTGGCCGACCTGCCCCTCGCTCAATATTAAAACCTGATAATAGTCTCTGGACCGAGAATGGACTTCCAGTTGATAACGTACCGCACAAAGTTGAAACGAACGACAGCCAAGCTGTTGCAGCGACCATGATGTCGCGCAGTGACCTGTTACTCCACCAATTGCCTTACATGGCATGTCTAGTCGAAGGGGCCAAGGAGTGTCAGGAGCTCGAGAAGATCACAAGATTCAGCAAGTGTAAGCTACAGGCGCCTGGCAAACCTAAGTTCTCTGTCGAAATTGGTACCCCTGGTGCAACAATTGAGCTGCCCGGGGATACATCGAAGTCAGGGGTTCGGGGCTACGGTACTACTCTGGATGCCTGTCTAGCATCTATGGATGATGAGGAAGGGCTCACTCTCAGTGATGATGAGATCATAGATGATGGCTAATCATTTGTCATTAATGATGTTATGTTATGCTTCGCATGCTTGCCTCATGTAAATTGCTGAAAGAGGGGTGTGGATTGAAGTGGAAGGAGTCCACGACGGAATGTCTCGTTCATGTCCCTAGTCCGAGCCATGAATCGCCTAGGGGATGACTGCTGATGTCCCTCACGACAGCAATCCTTATCTCGAGTAAGGACAGCAGCAAGCTCCGTCGGCTCCCTGTCCTGTACCTCTCGAGGCATTGCGCAGCTGCGCTAAATACTCGTTACTGTGGTCCATGCGCACAAAACAAAACAATGCTATAATATAATTAACTTATATTTCATCAGCCTACTAGGTTTTATCCTGCATTGCATAGTGCTGTTATCTTGTCCTCTTACAGCCACATAGGGTGGAGTGCATCTTTTTTCAGAATCAGTAATGAGGATCCAGAAGAGATATGCTACGCAGTAACTGCACATCTGAACAATTAGATAACTAACCAACTTCATTTTATTCAAGTTTAGTAAGCAGTCTTTATGCACGACCCCAACAGACAACAACAGGATTACAAAATATTATTGAACAAGACCACGTATCTTCTCTGGACAATCCTCCCCACTGCTTTTCCAGGTATATTTCTTCGGTCTTCCTGACCAATTTGATTCTTCGTGCACACGAGAGATAGAACGGACTGTGGACGGCATGTCGCCCACACAGAAAAACATTGACTGTCCGGCAAGGCCCAGTCTCAACCACCAGGCTTTATCTGCATCAAGTGTCGACCTACACACCACTGAACCACGGGCTTCAAGAACTCGAACGGATGCCATCCATAATAACAATGGGGGATGCGCAAGTTTTATAGAAGCTGGGGTCGGAGAGCTACCTAAAACTGAGATGAACTCGACCACTTCACCACTACACAAATGGTCTAATTTGATGTTAACATCGACGCTGATATTCGGTGGCTGCTGTGCCAATGTGAGTAATGTCAAAAGTAGTAGGTTTCAATAACTGATATAATATACAAAGGTTTTCGCACTCGAGGCGATCATCAAGTAAGTTGATTGACAGATTAAGTGAAGTATATACACAGATACTGTACTGACATTCCTATCATCCAGAGATCAGCCAAGCTCCGGTAAATCCCAATAACCTTATCAATTGTTGATACCCTGTTCAATCTAATAAACAAGAAGGCCCGATGATCACGCTTGCCCAATTTATCTTGACTGCAATTTTTACATTTCCGGACTTTTTCTATCCGGCTGCCGGCCCTCGCTCCTTGTACCTTAGACCGCGTGCCATTCCTTTGAGATCCTGGCTTGTCTATACAGCTTTCTTCATCAGCGTGAACCTCCTGAACAATTGGGCTTTTGCGTATAAGATCTCTGTCCCTTTACATATCATCCTTAGATCTGGAGGCCCTGTGGCCTCCATGGTCATAGGTTACATGTTTAATGCTAAGCGTTATTCACAGGGTCAGATCATTTCTGTACTGATGCTCACTCTAGGCGTAGTCGCCGCCGCAATGGCAGATGCAAGAGCGAAAGGCCAATCAGTGCATGTTGAAGGCGGGTCAAGGATGACGACGATGATCGGGTTCACTATCCTTGCTGTGGCGATGATTCTGTCCGCCTTCCAGGGAATCTATGCAGATCGGCTTTACGAGACATACGGCCGCAACCACTGGAAAGAGGCTCTCTTTTATTCTCACATACTGTCACTGCCTCTATTTTTGCCTACCTACCCGCAAGTTGCTACTCAATGGCGAACGATGTTCTCATCGCATTCCTCAAATAAGTCACTTGCTTTTGAGGATTCTGTATCGAGAGAGAGACATTGTGAACTACCATGCATGGCATCAATTCCCAGCAGCATGGCATACCTTTCACAATCACTCCTGGGTTTCGAGCACTTGCGATTGATGTTCGCCGTGATACCAACCCGCTTGGTGTACCTTTTGGTAAATGCATTAACTCAATACTTGTGCATCCGCGGGGTACATCTTCTATCCGCGAAAACATCTTCGCTAACCGTCACAATTGTCTTGAACATTCGCAAGCTCGCCTCGCTTTTGTTGTCTATATATATATTCGGCAATTCTCTCACACCAGGTGTGCTCATAGGTGCCACATTGGTATTCATAGGCGGTGCTTTGTATGGCTTCGAAGGGGCACGTGGGAGAAAAGCACCTTCGAAGAAAGAATAAATATATATACTCCACGTATGCTGCAAACTCATTCCCCCAATGTTGCCGGCCTATTTTGACCTCTTACAGTGTCCAGCTCCATTGTTTCAAGCCCGTAGGATATTGATATATACAAATTCCTCTAGCTTGAAAACAGACCATGCCATGCTACTCGGAAATTCGACGTGACGAATCAGACAATATTGGTGAAAGACGAAATACCACAGTTTCGATATACAATACAAAAGTGCCACACTGTCTTTCCCTAAAACACAGAAACGATACCTGTCAACAGCGATTCCAGGCCATTGCGTTGTTGTAGAGAATAGTGCAGTCAAAGTTCATAGAAGTGTTGCAACCGAGATTGCTTGATCAAAGATCTACAAAACCTCGCCCACAATCTTCGCTGCCTCCTTATATGTATCAAGAAGTTTTTCACACTTTTCTCTCTCCGCCTTGATTCCATCATCTTCGTACAGAAGCTCTCCAAATAGGTCTTCTTTGTAGAGCTCGCTAACAAGCCTATTCTGCACAACATCTTTGCTGTGATTAACAAGAAGATGCATGATAGCCTTGGGCACCTGGTCAGCAATCGTTTCTCTGACAATATTGAAATACGAGGAGATCAATCGACGAATCAACTCAGTCTCCAAGATTTCACGCTCAGTTAAAGAGGAGTCTGGGTCGTCCTTGGTCTATATATGCTTCATTAGCTCTAAATCTTGGATATTATCAATTTAAGATATTCGACTCACCGATACAGCAACGTCATTATAATGTTCTACGGGGGCTACGTAATCGTCAGGCGGCAAAATGGGAGAACGCATTTCTGTGCGCCGAAGGCTGTGGCTGACACTGGCCTCATGAGGGCTTGCAAGCTGCCTATTTGTGTTTGATGGTTGCGGTAGCGAAGTGACAGGATGCACGCCATCCTTGCCAAAGAAGTAGTTCAAGAAAGAATCACGGGTAGTGTTCGTTGCCCCGAACGCTGCCGAGGCGTTTGAATGCGTCCCGTTCAATGTAGCTGCAATGCCGCTGTCTTGGCCCTTGCCAAGATGAGGTGACATGCTTCTAGCTCCCCGGGCGGACTGACTTCTGTTAGAGACATTTTGTAGCTTGATATCGGATTGCTGATCTTCTTCATCATCCAATGAGGCAGTGATGTTGCCATTTGAGCCTCCAAGTTCCTTGAGCCGTCTTCTATCTCTTTTCCTTTTCTCTTCTGCCAGTGCTGCTTTTCTTTCCTGCTCCTGCTTGTTTTGAATAACGGACGACATCGCTGCCGCCGCACCAAGAAAATTTGGGTGGTTCGTATTGATGTAAGCCCGCTGAATCGAGATAAGAGACTCCACGTATCCCGAGCAAGGTCCTAATCGTTCGCGAAGAAGATCGGATACAACTTCGATCAATTTTGCCTGAAGACGGGGGAAGCGAAGTAGTTCTTGTGAACCACATGTATGGCAGATCTTGATGAGCTCTTCATACACGAGTTCAACGCACCTCTGACTAGGAGCTTCTAGCATCTTGATTTGAGGCTTTACAAGCAGGTCAAAAGCAAGTTCTGGAACAAATAAACTCGGGCGAGGACCTGTTGAGTTTCGGATAGCCGTCCTGATATCGGACACAGTCAGGTTGTGGGTGGGGTCTATCGTCTCAAGAGAATTGCCGAAGACAGAATTGAAGATATAGTAAATCCTAGCGCCTCCGCAGAGTTCTTTTGTGGAGATTTCAGAGGAGGTTCCGTCAATCGAGGATATGAATGACGAGGCGAATCGTGTCATTAGCTGCAGTATCAATGATCCGCGATGCTCCTTTCCGCTGAACTGTTTGTTGCCATAGCTTGCGAGTTCCTGTTGTGTTTGGCCCATAAGGGTGTTGAGGCGCGCTTTGATATCAGGAAGCCGATCACGGATGTGAGACATGAGAGTTGTATTCAAGGTCTTTGCTAGAAACTGAGTGCCGCATCTATTTGCCATATTGCGATAAGCGGGATGATGTCTAAAAAAGTCCAGCTCAGCCTGCAATGCGTCGGATAGGGATTTCCCAGATTGGATGTCTTGTTGAGACCGATTGACGACACCTATGAAACCAAGTTTTAATGGGTAGACGCGGCCAGAGAGGATGTCCATGGCATTGGTACCATGGTCCATGAGATCCAGCTTCGTCAAGACACCGATGGTCCTTCGCCCCATTGGATCAACCTGCCGCGCAAGCTTTAAAGCCTCCGAGTTCACGAGGTCGACATTGGCAGGAGATACTGCCAGAATGATGCTGTTGGGCTTCGCTATATATTCCAAGATCAATGCCCGAGTTTGTTTTTCGATGTCAGACGGTTGATCTCCAATGGGCACTTTCGTCAACCCCGGCAAGTCAACCATGGTAAGATTGAGGACGTGAGGCGAGAAAATCTTCAGATTGATGGGCTGCCTATTGATTCCTTTGTTGCTTCCTGCTATCCTCGCTGTCTCCGCTTCGATTTCCTGCTTCACCAGAGCAAAGTCGTCAAATTTGCGACCAGGGAGATGGTGGAACTCCGCCCACTCGTTTTGCCCTGCAACACTTGCAGCAGTGTGAGGTATATGGACCTCGTCACCGTCGGGCCTGTCATGCCGTTCACTCGGAATGTTTATGAGCTGCAGGATCAAGGGCCTTCTTGTCACAATACCGCTTCCTCTCGGCAGAAAATCTCTGCCAACTATATTCTCAAGAACGGATGATTTTCCAGAAGATTGAGAGCCGACAACGACCTGTGATTAAATGTGATAAGCTGCGCTGGACTATACTTGCATGTAATAGAGTATCAAGTAAGAACAGGATACGGGTCATGTTCACTCACAATCTGGGGGAGATCAAGCGAATCATTTCCTATGGTATTGAAAACTAGATCTTGTAGTTTGTTCACAGTGATAAGCAGGTCCTCGCTAAGAGCTGCCATCCTTCAATGCAATGACGAGAGCGAACACTGCTCTCCCAGTTAATTAAGCTTGGGGACGGGAAGATCCGCTGGTAAATATTCAGGAGCCCGAAGGAACAAATATAAGGCTCTTAAAGACTTGAATAAGATACGGGAGTATCGAACCTAGGCTGAGGCGCATATATGCTTGGCTGCTGCAGATACTAGCCGTGTATAGCGTGCCACTCTCAAACTATTTATCGACGTCTTTTCGGATGCGAGTAGGACTGTCAAGTCACGTGAGTGTGACTAAGCAACCGCTGGTGAATCACTAACTGTTGACTACCTGCCACGCCGCTGAGCCCACATACATCTGTATATGGGCCAGCCACACCTCACAAATAACCTCCCCTCACGGATAATATTGATTTGTTTAGGATTCTTATATAAACTGATTTTTCTTGAAACTAAAATAACTAAACGAAAAGTTAATAAATCTCTTCAAAATTCAAGATATTGCTTATAGAGACTATATAAAAGATTACAATATAAGAGAATAAGAATTATAATATAAAGTTTAGAGTAGCTTAACCTAACTATTATACCTTAACTCTAACCTAACCATAACCTAGTAGTAAGATCAGGATATAAAAAATAATTTAAGTATATAATTAAAGTTAGATTAAGATATAATTATTATTTTATTTATTTATATTTACTAATCAGAAAGGTTAGATATAATAAATAAATTATTAATTATAGATTAGTTAGTAATATATATATCTCTTTTCTATATAAATAATAAATAAAGTATAATATATTTTTAATTATAGTATAGTAATATTTTTTATATTTAATTTATTTAATTTAATTTATTTATTTTATTTATTTTATTTATTTTATTTATTTTATTTATTTTATTTATTTTATTTATTTTATTTATTTTATTTATTTTATTTATTTTAT